TTTATAAAGAAGTAATCGTTTTCCCACTGCTCTCGAAAAACCTCGTGTTCGGAGTCGATTTTCCGTTTATTTTGAAACATTATGAACTGTGAACTGCACAACACATACAATATAACTACGAGAAACAACTAAAATTATATCGGTGATGGATATAGTGACTTGGTGTTCGTGCAAAACGCTGAATATGACAAAGTTGGACAGACGATAACGCTGGGACACGTCATTTTCATGTGTGATTAACAACGTAATGTTGACGATAAGCAATAGGAAAATAAACTAGTTTATATTTTATTTTTAGCATGTTACATTTTTCGATGTAATGAGAATAGATTTTTTTTTCTCCTATTTTTATTTTATACTTAACAGGCCGGATTTGGTTTACGAGCCGTAGTTGGTCAACCAGCGTTATAATGCATATGCATATTATAAGTACACAGTGTTTGTCCAGTTCCTTATAAAAAGGAATTCGTTCCTCGTTATTTTTTAAAAGAAAATCATTTTTTTCCTTTCCTTGTTTCTCAAAAAAAAAAAAAATAATTTGATCCTTTGTCGTTCCTTTGAAAAACGAACAAGTTCCTTTTTAGTTCCAAATAAAATAAAAATTCTTATTTAATCACCAATGTTTTTATTCATGTATTATACTTAACTTTTTAATTATACATTTAAGTACAAGTATTTATTATAAATAGTTAGATATTAGTTAGGTTCTACCAAGTCCCAACTCGCAATAAAAATTATTTTATTGTTCAGTGTTCGCTGTACATGCTTTTTTCAGACGCGATGACAACGATTTATATTTGTATATATATATATATATATATATATATATATATATATATATATAATATTGTAATATTGCTATTTATGTATTTATATTTATTCTGTAATTTTTATACTCATTTCTACAATATATATTAGGTACCTATATTATAACTTATAAAAAAAATATTAATAAAGTGACTAATGACGAATATGTAATGACTTTATTCTAATGATAAACGAATAATATTAAAATGAATAGCTGATACTAGATAACGATTACTAAGTTGACAATACACACGCTGAGAAAAAATGTATTTAATTTTTAATTAGGTACCTATCTATGTAAATTGAAACTGGAAAGGAACGAAAAATGTCGTTCCCTTTTTTTCGAAAAAAATAAGCCGTTCTTGTCCTGGTTATTTTTTTTTTTTTATAAAAAGGAATTCATTCCAGGAATCCGTTTCTTTTGGAACTCGTTTCTTCCAAACACTTTAAATACATGAGTGCGCGGCCGTTCAAATTAAACGTCAGTGCTTATTTCACAGTAAATTAATGTGTTTTTATATAATTATTCTCTTATTTTTTTTCATCATTTCATTTAAAATGTATAATGTGAAACGCAAAACGCGAAAAAAATTATAACAATATATAACTAATATCATTCTCTGCTAATACATACATTTTTTTTTTCAATAAATATTATACAGTATATATTAAAGATAAAAAGTTGTATAAATAAAACATACCTGTACATATATTTTCGTAATGATTCAATCACGAACAAAATTATTTGTTTCATTACAATTATGTTAATATTCTTGTTTTTAATACATTATTATTATTAATTTTTTTTAACGCAAGAATCTAAACGCAAATAAAATTTCTTTAGTTGTTTTCAGGCCTTAGGACTAAACGCATTATTATATTTTGAATTCTATACTGAAAATACATTTTCCTAATATTTATTCTATTTTTGAATAATAATTTTTTAACGAATATAAATAAATCTAGTTCCCTACATATTAAAATTAAAATAAACTTCTATAAAAGCAAACCTTAAAAAGAAAACCATCTTTCTAAACGTTTCATTTTAACCGAAAAATATATATTATAAATAACAAATTTTAAAATTGAGGAATGTTGAATCTTTCAATACGTTTGATAAGTTACATGTTAAACCAGAATATCAAAGTATTAAGTATTAAAAAAAAAAATTAAACAGTTCAATTTTTCATTAAGTATACAAAATACGTAAATTGCATGCACATGCATTGAAAGATGCATTCACAGATTCGCGAAAACAAAACGTAGTATTCGAAATCGGTTTAATTTTTTAAACGCCGACGTTTCGAACCCTCACAACGGTGCATTAACATACAATCAGTATAAACATTTACGATTTCGGTCTACAGTAATAAGTGCGCCTTGCATATGTTTCCGGTGGTTTTTACTCGGTCTAAAATTATAACACTCCTTCTAGACACTGTTGGCCGTAGTACCTACGTCTGTATGTACGTGCACGTGTCAGACCACCACATACATGTCTCCGATCGTAAAACAAAGCGACAATAATCGTGATTAGAACGTATAACTATTTCGAGTCCGATCGAATCGTTTATTCGCTGTGCCGCGCGGAGTGGGAAACACTGCGGCCGACACGATGCCCAAACACACTGCAATACGTACGTCAGGTTAAAACATTGTTTGATGTTTACGTGCAATGATCATCGAACTGTAAACGAACTGTTTCTGTTACAAATATAAACGAAACGTTCACTCGTGATGAAAAACACTGTTGAAAAATCCCATACAGTAAAACGACGTGTGCATTGAACTATTTCGCTTTTACGTACTTAGGTTATTCAGTGTGCATTTATTATCGTGATTTATGCGGTAAATATGTCGATCGATAATACAAGTTCATTTCCAGCTGAATATTGATCATTCGAATGAATATTATTCGTGTCCATTGCACATTTCGTATGCGCTATGGCTGATTGTTGCGGGCTTGACTTGTAGGGCCCCATTTAAAACATTTCGGAAGGGGGAAAGCTGTCTTAACGATTCTTAGGGCATGGGGTAAATCGTTTCGGCAGTCTCTCAGTCATCACAATAATATACGAATACCTACGATAAAAATACACACCGATTTTGCAACATTTTGGTAAATACTGTTTTCCACAAGCCTGGGAAAGTTAAAGATAACTGCCTTTTTTATCGGCCCGTGCTATATTTTCAAATCATGTCATACAATTTTAAAGTTTATCTTCTATACTCTATATCTTATCGATATAATGATTGTTATCTGGTGTAAAACATCGTTAAATGTCTAAATGTCATATGTATGTTACGCATAGCTTTCAACCATAGCTGTTTGTACCGCATTAGGTTAGTTTACCTACATTAGTTTCTTCATATCATTCGTGTCGTGCCATCGTGTGTGTTGAATTTACTATTTCCGTGTATATAAATACTAATTAAAATTCATATTTTAAATGACCTTTTTTTTTGTTTTGTTTTTTACGCTCCGGCCCGCTAAATTTTAATTTTCTAAAAATTGGCCCTCTAGTGACTTTGGATTGTCCATCCCTGATATAATATATACCTATTGGCTATAATATAGCCATATTATGGCTATTGCTATATGTATTTTAATAAGTTATTTTTCTCGAGGGATTCTGGTTTAATTTAACTACATTTCTAATTTCCTATTCTAATAAATGGTTATATAATATGCATCATCAATAATAACTTTATTATATTTATTATTTAATTATTTAAAAATAACTTGAATTTAATTAAAAGTAACTAGTTATTTATTGAGTTTATATCAATTAAAATAAGTTAAGTTAAAAAAGTTAAAATTAACTTAACTTTTAACTTATGTTTAACTTCTTAACTCATTTATACCCAAACTTGGTTTTCCAAATCTCAATAAATCAAGGTACTTAATTTAAATGCTTCGGCACAATGAATAACATTTTTAATAATTTCTCAACCACTATTAGTTACCACGTTTAATTAAAATTAAATGTATTCCTAGATAATTTATAAACAGCCATAGAAAATAAGAACTTATCGTATCGATACTTGCGAAATCATGTCATTCTTCACATTCCAGCAATAACCATAATAAATTGCAGTTACGCCTGTTTGGAAATTGGAATAACTGAAAATGTAGCCTATACAGGTAATAGCGTAATAAACGTAAATTTAAGTTTAACTTTAATTCAATTAAGATTGTTAACACTTCATAATGAAAAATATTTCAGAAATATTACAATTTTATTATCATTAACCTCGAATGGGCAATGCCGAGTATTTCTAATCGATCTGTAATTTAGGGGGAGGGGGTCCACTTTAAATGTTTCCAGGCCGAGACCTGGGGCGAAATGGTCACGTCGCCCACTCCACCGCTCCGGCGATTGTACGGGCCTTTGTTCGCGGTCATCGGCCCAACACTGCGATCCTGAAAACGGTTAAATGCTAAAGCAGGCATGCCAAACTCAATGTATCAAGTGAGTCGAATACATTAAATAGTTTACTACGCACATAATAATTTAACGAAATATATATATTATACACGATGTGCAGTGGCACCGATCCCTATATCCAAGTATGGCGACTGCCATTGTGAATTATGTGGTGGGTGGGTAATGGGTGCTGGGTAAATATTTTTTTTTACTGTATAAATGCATAATAATGCCTATTACATTGCCTACAACTGATCAGTATGAACCCGATATATTTTAATATTAATATAAATAATGGTAGTGGACTTATTGGTGAGGAGGAAGACTTGATATTATTTAATATATAAAGTGAACACCTATATCGGCAATATCATAAATTATTAATGTCACAATATAAAAATAGATACAATGTTTTTTATGTATTAATATCAATTTTGAATACAAGTAGGTAAGTAGTTAGGGTTTCAAGTATTACCAAGTAGGTAGGGTTTCAGCCCCCTCCACCGTTTACACCAATTGGTAAGTTGATCTGCAGAAAAAGTATGCTTGATGTTTTAAATCAAACAAGCAAAGGCGATTGCTGACCAATTTAATCAACATTACATCTTCTTCATACGAAAAAAGTAATTTTGATGACACATTGTAGAAAAAGAAGCTAATAATTAGAATTATTAATTAAATAATAATTTATTTGCATATGTTGGCCGCGCGTCTATTTGCCTTCGAAGTGGTCATCGCAACGCGTCTATTGACGCATGTGACTGTTGCGCGCGTCTGCGGCGGTCAAGGAAATCGGTTTCTATTTAAAAATAAGTAAAGTAGTATCGGCACGTCCAAAATCTCGGCCGCACTGCGGCAGCCGCGTTGGCCGCTCGTCTACAGACGCGTCCTAAGGAATCGTACCTTAAAGGTGTTGCAGTGTCTAGTGTACCAGTGAACATATTTTGCGTTTCTACATTTGTTCGTTTGAATCAATATTATAAGGTAAGTTTTTTAATGTTACCTACGTATTTAATATGTATTTGTATTTTTTTTCACTTTACTAATTTATCAGTATTTATTATATAAAAAGTAATAACATTAAAGAAAAAGCTGTTGAGGCGCCTATTGCTTTTTAAAACATACAATATACATGTAGATTTATTTCACTTTTCTAAAAATACAATAATAATCAATTTATCGTTTTAATTATTTGTTAAAAGAGTTACCTGAGTAGTAGGTATCACAACAATGTGTTTTTAAGATTATAATGAATGGGGAATTAAATAATATTGATGAATAATAAACAGTGACTGCTTTTAAATATTATTTTTTTATTTGATTACCTGTATTATAATTTTTAAAAATATTATATTATATATATTTTATATTACTAATTTAAAGTATAGGTACCTACTTGACACTTATATACTTAATATATATTTAACACTATTGCACAGTGCCCAGTGTCCACATAAGTTTTTAAATCCAAACATTGAATTGAATTCTTATCTAGTACTTACTACCTACTACTTAGTCTAATATTTATGGTTTATTAGAAATATAGGTTTTATTAATTATTAAAAATTGTAATTCATCCATTCAGGACAAAAGTCGACATATTATTTCCAATATAAATGTGTTACCGACTTCCTATTTTAATTTTTAAACATTTTTGATTATCTTTAGTGTACTTTTTGTGGTTACTGATTATTTTCTAAATTGAGTGTTTGGTTTTAATTAAGAAATTTAACTTTCTGTTTGATTTAGTTTGTTTTTATCAAACTCCAGTGGCATCATTTGATAATGTTTAGGGAGTGGTGGATCACATTTTTGTATATGAACAATTATTACTCGCAAACATTTTTATTGTATAGTTATTAGTTAAATATGATGTTCTAGGGCTAAAAATATATCTCAGACAGTACCAAATTTTTTTAAGAGCTTTTGATGATTTTCGGTTCGGGCCTGGGATTTTTTTCACAAACATTTTTTGGACCGGTCGGACCGGGCTTTAGAAAAAAGATATTTGACCGAGCTGGACCGTAAATGTATGGCCCTTGCAGGTCTTTAGTAAGTACTATTAAAATTTGATATTCGCCATACTGCATTTATATGAAGTTCGGCGCCACTGACGATGTGTACATATAAAACCTTCAATAAAACGTACTCGATTACAGTTTATCAGAATATAAGACACAATAACGTGTACCAAGTATAACAATTGCCAAGAGTCTGAAATAGTGACGACTTGACATTAATATTTTATAATTTTTTTACAGCCTATTCATTTTTTCATTATTGTCGATTGATATTGGTATGGGCCGTGTGTTCGACGTGCCTGTGCTAAGGCATTCGTGTGGCGATTACGTCCGCTGGCCGACGATGGGGACGGCGAAGGGGAACCGTCAGCTGTTGGGCGCTTGCGTGTGTTTACTCGTCTGATAATGACGTGTGTACACTGTCGTCGTTATCTCTACTGTTTCGCGTTCACAACAACAATGTCAATAACGAAGAAAATAAATAAACCCGACGGACTTGTAACGGTAATAGTATTGTTGCAATTCTAACACTTCTCCCCCGTGTACACTCCGTTCGACGACGATGCCAGTTGTACCGTCGTATTGATTCGATCGCGTCGCAAGTGTCGCAACAAACTGCGATCGTTGATCCGTAAGTTCGACGTGCCGTCGCGTACCTAAGTAAAAACCGCTTTGACGTGGTGGACCCGATCGTCGCGCGCCAACGGGTTTTACGTGCCTGCGGACTGTTCTGTTTCATTCCCATCGCCACGGACTCGCTCGCTTGTTCACTCCCGTCTCTGTTGCTTCTTCCGACCGACATCACTTGAAGATACCATGTCGGACGGCGACGACTTGTCTGACTGCAGCAACTCGTCGGATTCCAGTTACTCGAAGGTGGACTTCTACGAAGGTGAGCACTCCATAGGCTACATCGATGAGCACACAGCTATGTTGACGGTTTTCAAACCGACAGAGCAAATACTTATTTACATGTTGCTCCCTTAAAACAGTCCTGTCCAGTCACTATGGACCGATTAGGTTAGGATTGTTCAACAGAGATTGATCACAACTTTGGGGATATATTTGACCATAAATTTGTACATCAGGTTAAATTATTGTTTTAAGACCATATGGTTTTGTTTTATAGACTGTTGAATTTCTCTTGCAATCTTAACAAATTCAAGTCCAGAGTTTAAAGACGTGTTCCCTTTTAAATCATTTTTGAGGATGAAGTCTCTAAATAACACTGTGTACATTTAAGTATCTTGTCTTATATTTTAATTTCTAATCTATGCACTGCCCAAAATATAAATAAATTCTTGTCTTATAACTTTATAATTAATTGTAGTATAAAGTACAAACACCTACTAAAATTATACAACCTTCAATAATCTTTTTTTAAAATTAAAACCCATTGATTATTATTGCATTACAGTACAACTTTATAAACTAAATTTTCTTAAATTATTTAATGTTCTAAAGACTAGGAGATTTTTATCTTGTTTATTAAAACATTTTCAGTACATCATTAATTTATAAAAAGAGCAATGTGGTCACGCAGTTGACTACAATGTGCACAGTCATCAGTTTAAACTGGGTCTAGTGCAAAAAACATTGTGCAAAATTAATTCTGTAGTTACTCTTCCCTGCCATCATTTTGGTTGCTCCCCGGGTTGCTCTACACTGCTCCCCACTGGGCCAAAAATTCCATAGGAAATTCAACACGTGACAATTCTCTTCTCAAGTAATACTCCACTTTACCCTTTCCCATCATTATTGATGACTAATGGTTAAATGTTACATTGATACAATATAATTTATAAATAATACATGAAAATATTTAATATTAATATTAATTGTTTTCAAATTTTTATTTACAGTTCAAAATGTAGTACCTGAACAGTTTAAAAATAAAGTGAACAGTTTAAACAAAATTCTGCAAAGCGAAATAAAAGATACTGATGAACTGAAAAACTTAGCTTGCAGTGAAGGAGGATTAGTGATTAGTAAGTATATGATTAAATATATATATATTAGTATTTAAATCATTATTTTACTTCTTAATTAATATAAATTATTTTATTTAAAACTATTTATCTTTCAACATTTTATATTAAGTATTACATTATTTATTGCTTCCCTCTACTTAAATTCCATTTTAAATTATTTTGTTAATGTTAGATTGCAATATTTTTCTTTAACTGGTATAATGTACAGAACATATCAGTTATTGAATTGAGTACTGTTTATACTATTAATTACAATAGGATTTTTTGAAAATTGTCTGCTATGATTACTTTAGGAGCATTATAGCTTAAAGTTGTAACTAAGGTATTGTAGGATATTTATATTATAAATGTATTTTTATGTAATTAATTCATAATTGTAGTTAAAAGAAATCAATGATTATAAAGTTGGAATAACACATGTATTATTGATAATACTTCTTTGTAAATGTGTATACCAAAATACAATATTATTTTTTATTATTATTACTAACAATTATTAATTTTAATTCAGGTTTAGTACGTTCAGAAGCATGGCCATTACTTTTAAACTTATCAATTGAGAATAAACCATTACTTAACTTAGAAAACATTAAAGATCATCCAGAATATAATCAAGTGGTCATGGATGTTAGAAGGTGTTTAAAAAGATTTCCTCCTGGCATATCTTATGAGAGAATTGGATTATTGCAAGAACAATTGATTGAAATTATACTCAGTATAATTACGGAACACAAAGAATTAAAATACTATCAAGTAATTTTTTTATTAAATCATTCTAAATGAAATATATTGGCACTTCATAAAAGTTATTATAAATTAATTATAATAATTAATAGTTAATACATTATGATATGAATCATTAAATATTGAAAACTATTTACTTTATTATTTTAAAAGTTTATTTAAATATGATGTTTACATATATATTTTTATGATAGGGTTATCATGATGTTGCTGTTACGTTCCTAATTGAAGTTGGACAAGAAAAAGCTTATATTCTAATGGAGTACTTATCTTTAAACCATCTAAGAAAATTTCTGATGCCAACCATGAATGAAACGTCATATATGTTATGGCATGTATTTCCGCTATTATTAAAAATCGATCCAATATTAGGAGAGTTCATATTAAAGTGAGTATTGATTCAATTTTCAAAAATGATTTTAATAAAATATATTCAGCTAAGATAAAATACAAAAAAAAAAATGTAATATTTTATTAATATACTTTATATTACCATATACTATTTACTAAATCTACTAATATTTGATGAATTAAAATTGATCTTATTCATTTTTGTTTTAGGTCTGGTATCGGTACAATATTTGCTCTGCCATGGTTACTTTCATGGTTTAGTCATAGTTTGAACCAACACATAAAAGTAGTGAGATTATTTGATTATTTCTTGGCATCACAAGAAGACATTATTTTGTATGTGATAGCTCAGATGATAATTGCTAGGAGAGATGAAGTTTTGAAAGTTGAATGCGATATGGCTAATGTACATTGGGTCTTATCAAAGGTGGTTTATTCAATTAACATATCTAACTTTATACTTGTTTGTAAATAAATATTTTGTTTGTTGCAATCATGGTTTTTTTAGATTCCAGAAGATCTAGATTTTGAATCTGTATTGGATAAAGCTACAATTATGTGCGAAGATTATCCACTCTCAACAATTAAAGACGAAGTCGACTTGTTAATTGAAAACGAGTAAGGGAATCTTACATAGTATCCTTTGGGAACAATAAAAATGTTTCTGTTATAGAATAGTTTCACTATATGTAAATAGAACCGGTTGAATAATTTTTAAACTTTTTCACTAATGAAATAATTTCAACTTAGCTCGAATCTAAAAATAAATAAATTTGTCTTTGTATGTTTAATGCAGTCGTTCCCTAGGGTCTCACGAACATAAATTGAGCATGCCGTGAAATTATTTGAAATATATTTTTAAGAAATAAAATTTTCATGAAAAATAAAATGCTGAACAATGATACAGACTATAATATAAAATCAATCATATTTTTTATAATTTGTAGTAATAATGCAATCAATCTATTTTAGTTTTCATACAAGACTGACTATTGAGTATAGACTTTATAGTACAGAATATAGATATAGGGTGCCAACGGATTTTTATAAATTTACTTAGAATACTGCGAGTTTAAAAGGTTGGGAATCTCTGGTTTAATGCATCACAATTATTTCAGGGCTAAATTATTACAAGCTCTGCATGATGAAAATATCCAAAGACGTTCAATTAGGAAGAAGATTCCGGATCACGGACCTCCATTCGCCAATGCTTTCCATTATGTACCAATATGGATAGTACCTAGGATGAGATTTGGTCTGTTATTCTTTGGATTCAGTGTTGCTGCTGGACTGTGGGCTGTAATCAAATCCAACAACAACTAAAATAAATTATTGATGCTTCATATATTCCAAATACATGTGCTATACACAGGGGACCAAATAGACTGATATCTTACAATATTGTGTCGATATGTATTTATTTGTTTTAATTTATGATGACTCATATCTAGATTTTTCTCATTTGTTTATCCCTATTTTGTTAATCTCTTTTCATACAGTCTAATTGTTAAAAATTAAAATATTTATAATTTAAAATTTACCATTACAAATTGTACATAAAATTGTTTTTGTTTTTTTTTTTATATAATTGAAAATATATTTGTTAAGATTCAATACTTTTATTTGTGGGTGTCAATAATTTTTAGGTACTGTGTATGAATTATATACATTTCAAATTACTGTATGCAGAAATGTGACATTATTATTGTATTGTAAGGAAATCCTAAATTGAATTTGGAAAATTATTTATCTTTAGTAAACTTTTGGTTGTTATATAATTACAAATGAAAATCAAGTAGTGTTAGAAGATACCATATAAAATTTTAATTTTAATTTTTTTTATCATTGTGAATAGATCTCCTGTTTGTATGTTGTATTAATGTACTCAACCAACGGAATATTAGAACAACCTATTTTTATGCTCATTACTCATTACGTTAACATAAAAACTATTGTATTTAAATATTTTATAATTATTATTGTGATTAAATAATAATTAATTTCTTGTTATATTTCGGCGGATTGGATACATACCACATTTGTTTCGCTGTATTTTATATTTATTTCAACTTTATAATTTAGTTATTATAATCTTTATAGGCTACTATTTCTCAACTTAGAAGTTACAAATAAATGTTAAAATTTCAAATGAATATGATTTGTTTTATAAATTACATTATTGTGCGAGTTGATTAAAGTAAAATTGTTATATATTTTTTTTTTTAATGAATGTTATAAGAGTAACCATACCATATGAATTTTACAAACCGTTTGTCGCAGAATGGTAGTTTTATATGTTTGTTTTGGATGGGTTATATTCATGCCAAATTTATGTGTTTGCAAGATCGGTGTGAACATATGGACGATAAAAAAAAAAAAAACTTACCCATTAATCTGTAAAAATGATAAATAATAAATTAATGTTTCTCAAAAACATCCATTCTTTGTACGTTTCAGACTAAAGTCAGTTATCTATCATCTATGTTGATCCTGATAAATGGGCCCTGAATTCTGGATGAGTAGGTAATCTAATGTACAAATTTAATGGTCCTCTATTTCAGCGGTTCCTATCCTTTTCTTTTAACTTAGTGGGTGGTAGTGGAAACTAATTTGTATACTTTGCCTCACCAAATGGAAAACAAGTCACTGCTACCGAGTTTAATAATTTGCTAGACTGTAGGTACCCCCCCCTCCAAGTACAACATTTAACATTTTTATACACTACTATTCTTAAAATATTTAAATAAAAATGTACAATATAATATAATAATGTACATAATATACATATATTATATTTATTGTAAAAAGACTCATAAATATAATACATATTTTGTGAATAATAAAATTTAGTAAGATGCTTGATCTTGTATTGATTTGCATGATTTTTTTTCTTTTTTCTATTAAAATCAGGTTCAAATGGTGCAAGATATAATCTTAAATCTGGAGCTGCATTCGGTTTATTTCCATGCTTATTGTTAAATACATTGAGTATTCTATAATCTATATTTTACTCTCCATTTCTATAAGAAAAGTTTTCATTTTCATAAACATATATTGTATATTTTCAAAATTAATTGTTAAAAATAAAACAAATTTAACAATTTTCCGCTCTTATCAATTTTTTTTTTTTTATCTATTCCATGTTAGGAACCGCTAGTCTATATTATTGTAGGAGCACAACAACATTACCATTATCATGTTATGTAATTGATTCGAAACTGAGATTATTACCATTGCAATAGTTAATAAATTTATAACATTTGATCACTTAATGTGATAAAATTAACTTAATCGTAATCATTGGATAAAAATTAAACCATACCAATGAATATCAGCAGATTCGGAATACTTCAACAATTGGTAGAAATTATTGAACATTGATGTATACGAATAAAATATAAATTTGTATATTAAATTTTGAATAAGAATGAGAAAAAAACAATTACTGAGGAATTTAGTATTCAATTTATATAAATCAAAGAATGTTTTATAATATAAAACATTTTAAGCATTAGTTTTTCTTAAATATAGTAAGAACATTTTAAACTATTTGTTCATAAATTTTAATTTAAATCAATTATAACTATCATATGATGAGCTTGAAACTTAAACACATTTTTGGAAGTTTAATATTACAATTTAAAAGAATGAAAATAAATTTGTGTATTAAATTAAATTGTTATACATGTCATTCTTATCAGGATTTCAGTAATTTTATCAATGAATCAGTCTTACCTATATTATTTATTGATCCCAATTTTTACATAAATACTCGAACATGTAACAATTGCACCTATTTAAACAAAAATTGATTTTACATTTATAGCATTTATAATTAAAACTTCTACTTCAAATTGTTTCAAAGATTTTTTTTTATTATTTTGATCATTAATAAATATTAGAAATTATTTTGTTCTTTTATTTTAGTTTAATTGAATATTCTGCTCCAATAGTTGTATAAAAATGTTATTTTGATTTACTCATAACAGAGTAATAATTTTATTATATACACATTCAATGTTTTAAAGTCCAATTGGATTGGATACTGATAACATTATTTTCTTGAATTTTCTCGAAAAAATACTTTCGCAGCAAAACTAATTTGAGAATACCAAAGAATTTTTGTACATAACTACCTATAGAAGATGCAGGATTGAATAAAACTTAATATTATTCAGGCAACAGCTTAATTTTCTTTTGTTGAACCGTAAGCAATTGAATTGAACTAACATAATTAACAGGGTAACCATTTTTATACTTGAAATATTTTAGGCTAAATTCTCTCAAGTTGTGATCATCTTAAAAGTTTAGAAAAGAAAATAATATTGCACAAAGGTGTATGAATTAATTATATGTGCAGTCATATAAACTCATATAAGCATTTAATTTCAAACCTAAAATTTTTTTATACAAATAAATATCAATAACGGTTCATTTACAAATAAATTAATTAATTTTTATAAATTTTAGTAGACATTAAAGTGAATGGCACACATTATGTTATTTATATTATTATAATGTAATAACATAATTATGTTATGGATTGAGTTGCTCAGTAGAAGCATCGGATTTTCTTCGAGTCAAGTTCCTTTGAAGAGAGATTGGAGTTAACCATTCCTTTGGTAGACAACGTTGAAAAAAAGGAATACATGAGCTAACATATGCCAATCTGTTTATCCAACTTGGTATATCTTGCCCACATAATATCTAAATAAAAAAGTAAACATTAAAATTCAATAATTATATAGTTTTTTTAAATTTTTTTTTTTTAAAGAATTTAGAAGATACATTAATATTTTAGGCGATTAAATAATAACACTGTATGACTAAGGAATATTGTAGAACTTTAAACAGATTATTAGGTTAACATTCAAGTATAAAAATATTATAATTAAAATAATAACTTATTTAAATAAGTAAAATTTCTACATATTAAACTATTTAATAAAACTTGAATATTAATAAATGTCCTTCAAAATATTATTCTTTTTAAATTTGCTAATTTGTACTTATATTTATGTTAAGATTTTAATCTATACAAAAGAATTTATATGTTATTTAGTTAATTTTGCTAAATTGTATATAAAAAAATTCATCTTTTAAATTAAAAAATAAAAAAAAATGAACTTTTACCTTGGTTAATGATCCAGAAAAATGATTACAATTTTTATTCATTAAATGGTATTTATCTCCACGAAAATCTTTACCAAGTTCAGTTAATATTCTTTTAACATCGTTGACATTAAAATCCGTGTGACCAATATATATAGATTCTCTAAAAATTTATATACAACGTTAATACTAAGATTCAAAATTTGAATAAGAATAAAAAAAAAAAACAATTACTGAGGAATTTAGTATTAAATTTATACAAATCAAAGAGTGTTTTATTATATTACACATTTTAAGCATTAGTTTTTTTTTAAACATAGTAAGAACATTTTAAACTATTTGTTCATAAATTTAAAATTAAATCAATTATAACTATCATATGATGAGCTTGAAACTTAAACACATTTTTAGAAGTTTAATATTACAATTTAAAAGAATAAAAGGAGTTTCAACCAAAAAAATTATAGTTTTCATATATTAAGTACTACTAGACTGTAAGAAGTTAAATTAATTAAATTCAGTAACATAAAGCATAGAATGTAAAATCATAATATGTACTAGTGATAAGTGGTTTACTTAAAATAATTTGAAAATAAAATAAAAATAAAATACAACCAAAATAAAATATAAATAAATAAAATATTACTAAGAATGAAAAAAATTAAAATTAAAAATTTACAAGTTGAAAACTAATTTGAATTCACCAGAAAAATTACTAAATTCAAACAGTTTAAACTTAATATGTATTCATTACTTGTTTTATAAATAATTAGAAACTTAAAATCTATAATGGATATTATAATTTCTATTTTGATTATTTAGAGCATACTTAAGTAAAATAAATAATTTGTTTGATCATCATATATTTGAATATTTACAATATTTAGGTACCTATATTATAATTATATAGAATTTACAATACTTCTTATTACATATTTTATGTATTTTTAAATTGTATTCACTAGTAAATTTTACTATGCCATTTTTAATTACTTAAGATTATTAAGTAATTATATTTAATAATCTTACAAATTTAACAGTTAAACTAAATTATATAGTTTATTAATACAATTTTAAAGTTTAAGTTATTTTATGGAAAATTGTTAATAAATTCTTCAACACACAATACTGAATAATATTACAGTGATAATAATACATACAAATATTTTAATTAACCATAAAAATGGTATTGCAGTAAATATTAGCAGTTATACCTACACAGTGATATTTACAAGAAATAAATCAAATTTATCTATACTACAATATAAAATGAAGTCACTTTTTTTTGTTCGGGATAAACTCTGAAACTACTTATTGGATCGCCGTGCAGTTTTTTTTAAATTTAAGAGGACATCACAGAGAAGGTTTTAGGCGTAAATTTAGTCCGATAAAGTTAATAAATAATTAGTTATTAGTTATCTATATATATATATATATATATATATATATAAATGGAGCCAAAAATGTATAACATTTCATCAATTGAGAACGGCTGGGCCAATTTAGCTCAAATTTTTTTTTAATTGTTTGTAATTGCCAAGAGAAGGTTTTTACGAAATTTTTTTTTGGAAAAGTGCTATTGTTTAATAAATCATAGTTTAATTTAATAATTTTTGACCCGGTCGATAACTGCACAATCGAAAATGAATTATTAAATAAAACTATTAAAAAAATATTAAAAAACTATTTAAAAACTATTAATTTTATTTTTGGTAATAAATGACGGGTATTACATAAATATTAAACAAAAAAAAGATCCCGCAATAGGTGTCAAAACAAATAAGAATGTTAGTTCGAAAAATTATTATGCATATCAGTATTTAAACGCGATAAGGACAAAATTGAAGCGCTCGGCCGAACAACGGGACAAGTGCCACTGAGCGCATTTTACAATGGAGGCGTTTAAAATATTACGGACCATTTCCACGACTTAAAACTAAACTTATTATTGCTTATTATTGCCTTTTAATCTATTTTTATTGTAATTTCAATGCGGTAGTGAACATATACAATAAATTGTACTCGTGCCTCGATACTCCATCGATAAACGTAATATTGCCGAGATTGGCGCTTGTCCCGTTGTTCGGCCGAGCGCTTCAATTATTCTACGATATCATGAGCTTCGTCAACAATTCATGGTCGAAATGTATGTAAAAATAGAGAGCGAACGATTTTGATACTTGCGATTTAATCAAAAAAAGCTGCGTGCAGAAGATTTTCAGAACAATTGTTAGATATTGGAGATGGGAAAGTTACTACAGATGAAACGGAATGTATAAAATTACCGACCGATTTCTGCACAATCATTTATTCGCAAGATGCTCTCATTGACTAGATATTTTTCAATGTACACAGACAATACACAAATCATGAGTGGCTGGCAGAAAGGGCAATTTTAGTAGTAAAAAATGTGGATGTCAACTAATTGAATCTCAAGATAAACATTTATTACCAGACATGGTGTCATACAAATCTATAGATATAGTTTGCTATGCTACTGAAACTGTAAATTATCTAACAGTTTTTAAACTCATTGGACTTACCAGGCATGCCACCGCATAATTTACAATTGAAGGTTTGTTCTCCGGTTATTTTGCTTCATAATTTGACCTACCACGGTTGTACATCAGCACGCGATAAGTTGTTAAAAAATTAATGAAAAATGTTATCGAAGCCATAATTTTAAATGGCAAATTCCGAGGAGAATATATATAATACCGCGAATCTCTATTATACCCAAATTTGTGCCAATACAATTTAAATGCCTTAAATTTCCAATTAGATTGGCATTTGCAATGACTATCAATAAGTTTTAAAGCCAAACAATGTCTGTAGTTTAGATTTGAGCACATCATATTTTTCACACGGATAATTATACGTGGTGTGCTCTCGAACCATCCAGTTTGTGTTGGCAATAGATGGGATAACAAAAAATATTGTACACTCTGTTGCATTAAGGGATAGATATTGTTTTTTACTAATATTGTCATAATTAGCGATATATATATAATTTTAATGGATCAATTTTAATAAATTATTAAAAAAATAAATGTTTGATGTTTTTTCATTTTTATATTTCGTCATCATTCATAGCACTCCATATCTCTTCCTTACATCCTTATCCTTACATGCCTATATTTAATTAGTTATTTTTTTCTAGCAAAATATTCTCTAGAAATAATTTATATGACAAAACAACGTTTGTCGGGTCATAAAAATATAATAATCAGTATCAAAATATTCTGAAATTGGTGAATGTTAACTATTAAATATATACTTATATAAAAGACCAAGGTAAACAAAAATAATGTATATTAAATTACCTGTATCTATAATGGTCTCCCAATTCATAAACATCTTTTGGAATCATATCAAAAATCCCTGAATCTGATCTATCATGTCCTCCATAGCCATATTCTAAAGTAGAATTGATTTTTCAATTTTATTTATAGTTAAAGTTTAAATTCTAATAATTCACCTTGACCATACACTTCAACGCCTGAATGGTATACACCAAGTCCCATGTGTGTTGTGTATTCATTGATCCAATACTTAAAAAAAAAATTACAAATTAATCAATAGAAAAAATATAAACATAAGTAATTTGTACTTATTAACTTTATTAAAAGTAGATAACACACATTTTAACATTGTATTAAACTATTTCATGTTATAATAAATATTATAATATACACAAATAGATAACCAACTACTATACCAATACACACACAGTAGAGTTATTAATCTGAACACAGGTTTATCTGAAATACATGAAAACCCAAACGGCTTGAAAATTATCTTTATTTATTATTATATATATTATATCGATATATATGTGCGGGTGTTAAAAATAAATAAATCAATAATTTAAACAAATCTGTAAGCATGTGATTTTATGTACACTCAAAATTATAATAATTTTAATTGTAGTCATTATATTTTTCAATTATGTATAGATAAAAATAGGTATGAAAATTTAAACCGCAGGAAAATTGATCTTTATAAATTAATAGATTATTCGAAATCTGTAGTTCAAACAACTTTTTTTTCCCATCTGGTTCAGATTACGGCAATGAATAAATCAACTTTTTGCATTTGAATGAATGTAAATAAAAATTTAAAGAACTTGGATCATTGAAGTTAAAATAACAGTTAACATGGTTTTCAGTTAACAAGCTCAAAAATGAAAAAAAATGGTTTTACCTATAATTTAATATAAAACACAAAATATAGTTTAATTATAGAGTTAATTAGAATAACATTTGTGAACATTTGTGTAGAGTTGTTATCTTTCAGTTATCACAATGACTTTAGTTGGTATTCATAATTTGTAAAAATAATGTTAGTAAGCTTGTGATAAATAAAATTAAATATTTATTATGCTCTTAATAGTTTAAAAATATCAAATGAAATAATGATTTAAAATCAATAATAAGACATTATATATTGATTTAGAACGGAAATTATAAAAATTGGATGATAATCATGGAATACTAACTTCCTTAACGGCGATAACCATAAGGTAAGATAATATTGGATTCTTCAAAACAATTAGTGCACGCATTTTAATAATTATTGGTTCTTTTCGGTTTTTAAACGTAACAAGTACCTAACTAATGGAAAAAAAGTTGAGTGACAATGTAATACTTTTTAATGTTTTATAAAGCAAGTAATTAATTGTTGTGCATGTGACGAAAAATGTAAAAAGAACAAAGCGATGTAATACCAGATATCTAGGGCAATCATAACCGAAGGGCATACATGGTCATGGTTTAACATTGACTTAACACACGGTCCATCTTGACCGATCATTAACTTACCATATCGTAGACGTGCACAAGTACCGGTTCTCGAGCCATGTTAGACGATCAGTGAGCCGGCTCCCATAAAACGTTGGCAGTGCAATGGCTGACGTGTCGGGCTGCAACAAAAGAGTTTGCCAAACGAATGATGAACGCCGAACTACGAGAGGTAAGCAGACGCGAGTACAACCGATCGCAAAAAACACGCGCGCACACGTAGTAGCAGTACTGGTCACTTTGAACGCGTCGCAACACGTAAACCGTTGCGATGGACGAGACACGACTACTACTGCTACGTCGGCGGCCTCCGGGGGAACCGAAAATCCACTCTACCTACTCAACAGTTGCATAATCGGACGCGACGATGACCGTAGAGCGGTGCACGTTATCGAGGTCGCCGCGTCCGTCGGAAATATGTGCCAGTCGCGCGGGACCGAGTACGTACGTGTTGTGCGCACGGGGTAGTCGACCACGACGACGACGGGACCGTTGACTCCGTCCAGAGGCGGTGGAAAGAATCGATTTTTGTTCGCGCCGGTGTTGACGGGGCCGACGACTGCAACTCGTAACGGGGCACGGACGGAAGGGTAAAAGGGTACAACGCTGCTTACACGACGAGGGGCGAGCGCCGTCCGACAAAAGCGGAAGATTATTTATTTTTACGCGTCGGAACTCGGGCGCGCGTTTCAGACCGTTCGGTTACACGTCGTGCGCGCATCACGCGTATGTTATGGTCGGCGCGGCCGTCGTTCGTTTTCGTCGCCATAACAACTCGTTCGAGTGAGCTATCTAAAATATGCGTTACTAACGCAGTGATCAGTAAACATTGTTCGTTTTCGAACCGGCGAAGAAGGCGGTGCGCGACGATAACGGTACCACGCGGATAGGAATCGTATTCGGCGCACGCATCGACCAACGGGCAAGAGCGCGTGCCGCCCGAACACGACGACTGCCGGACGGTCGCATACCGTTTGTCGGTGTTCCTACCGGTGCGCGCCGCGGCCGTGTCGCGACATACTCACCCGTGCGTGCGATCTTATTTCCGGTCCGTTTGTCCAACAGATGTCGTCGCGACCATTGGCACGACACCGAAACGCCACCGCCGTGCACCGCGTGCCACACGAGTTTGCGGCCCGTCGCCGACGTCGGTCCGGGGCGCGCGTCGCCGTCCGACGCTCGTCGTCGTGTTCCGTCGTTTCTCTCCCGCCCACCCCCTCCACCTCACACTCGTCCGCCGCCCACTCACCCGCCATCACCAGCGCGCGTTCTCTTTCGATCCGATTATTATTATTAGTGCGCCACCTTGCGCGGCGTTAGCCCTCCGACGACGGTGTAAAAAATGCAACCGAAAAGTCATGCGTACAACGGTCACACCCCCGCAGCCCATTAACCCGCTCGGCGATCTCGAGTGTCTGTGTCGACGAAATCGTACTCCGTACGCGATCCTTTGTTCCGACATAAGATCACTTCTCGCTCGATCCCCCGTGCGTTCCTGCCCATATTTCAGTAGAACGCGATCGCGATAGGTACTTACGCGAGTGCTGAGATGCAGCGACGGATAATATTACGTTACGACGTGGTAATTGAACGTGGCCCGTGCGTCTGAACCGCGGCACTGCTTGTTGTCTCCAACAGTAAAAATAAACCGTGTCCACCGACCGGAATGATTTTATCCGAATGTTAACAAAACCTGTTTTCTACCCGATCGATGAGTTGATTCTACCGGTCGAAACTATTGGAATCGAACTGATACGAGTGATCGAGTAAAGACGCTCGATCAATTCGGTAAAACCGATTTTATTACTTTTACCCGAGATATTAATAATTTTATTCGCGACGCGTACGTATTGTTTTGTAGCCTAACCTACAACGACCGTAACAACAAACAGTGTTGGAAAACGTTGATAGGTATAACAGGTTTTCGACAAATATGGTTTATATACTCGTATTTATAAATAAATACTATAATGTGAAGTGATAACTAAAAATTGAATACGCATTCCCACGAATTCTATCTATTATTAGTATATTTTCCATGTTTTTCCCAAAATGTCAAATTGGTTATTAATCCACATAAACATACTTTCAATGTTGTAATAAAGGTTAGCCCGGTTTACACTTGTCATATTTTATATCCAAGATGACGTCCGTGTGTCTCGGATCCGTGGCACGGATAATTATTTGATTGTGTATATGCGTTCACGTCCGTGCTGTTTATCTCGTACGAGTCAATTATCGTATCCGTGGTGCCACGGACACGTATCAAAATTATCGAACGAAATTCCATCCGATAATAAATATAACTGCAGTTACAATTAACCAATCATTCAATGCACTTGAAGTTAAAGTTGAAAGTGTTATATAATATTGTATTTCATCATATTAAATATCATAATAATATATAATACTATTGTAATTAAATAATATAATAATATATTTATTAAAAATGTCCGAAAAAAAAAGTGGTCCGATGATACGACAATGAAATTTGTAAATATATAATCGACATTAGAAGTTTTGTAGTAACATATTCGATGCATCAAACTTATTTCGTTCAGAAACCCATTGTCGAACTCAATATTTTATTTTATTTTTATTTTTACTAGATAAAATTTATTGATTATACTCATTAGCTAAAAGTCCACAAACTGAAAGAACGGCGTCTGCCACGTCTGGATCCATTTTCAATATTAAAATGTAACTATATAAAATGCTTACTCTGACAGCGACATTGACAATGTATAGTGTAACGTCAGAATTCGTATCAGTGACCCACGGATCCGAGACACACGGTCGTGGTCTCGGATATAAAATATGACAAGTGAAAACCGGGCTTTACTTTTACACTAGTGAAGGTAGTGCTCGAATTGAGAGGGGGTGCGCAGGGAGACGGAGCTCCTCTACTATTTTTTTTTCTGCTTACCCCAGCTATATTTTTTCACCGGAACGGGGGACGCCACGTTCATCCTAATTGATGTCCAAAATAATTTTTATGTAAATTTCAATTTACGTCAATTTGAAAACGAATTTCACGACTTATAATATCAAAACTATTTTTATAATTAAAGATTATATGGTGGTTATGATAAGGGACAACGTCGTCATTTCTAGAAAAATATAAATAACAATGTCTGTGAATTTGGTGTATTATTCTTTATACATTGTACGATTTGCTATTAACCCTATACTGCGTGATGTATCACTGATGATACGTTCAGTACATGTTTATGTAGAAGCTTTTATGTTGTTAATAAATTTGCAATTTCATACTCATCATCGATAAAACAAGTGTTTAATGAGTTCTAACAGTGTTTTTACAATAGCCTTGGATGAATGATAGTGAAAATAATGTGATTTAATTTGATAAAAAAAGTATCAAAAACGTATATTTCTTAGTCACATTTAACATTGATATTAGTGGTGGGAATTATCGTACCTTTTGTGGAATCATTCCAATCGGTACATTTACAATAAAGTATCGATTCCAAAATGCTCGTTACTTCGGTACAATCGGTACAATTTTTCTTAGTTACAATTCTATTCGAAACGATCAAGTATACAAATGTATTCCGGAAAGGATCTCAAAAGCTACACCGAAAGACGTAATAGATTATCAACAAAAAAACACGGAAATGTTAATATTTTCAAATATCTAGTAATTATTTAATACTATTTCCATACGAATAAATAAATTAATTAAATACTATTATTTTATTTTTACCCCTTTGATTATTATAGGCTTGGGAAAATAGACTGATTAATTCCGTTTACAGTGTAAAAGACACTGTACAGCTAATACTAAAATGCTAGGATAGTAAGGCGAGATGTATTCGTTTCAACACCGTTTCAAACGATAAAACCCATATTTGTATTACAAGTTAATATGGCATAATTAAATCCTCCACCGATGGAATGACCGTGGAGTGATTAATGTACTCGTTCCTACTCGTTCCATCTATGTAATCGTTACATTGTACTGAATATACCGGTAACGACCCACCACCAATTGACATTGTGGATTATTGTGTTTTTTAAAAATGTTATTTCATTAAATATGTTATACAAATTATTTTTATGCATCGAACATACGTTATATAAAAGTAAGTATCCTTATTTATACATATTTTTAAGTGTATCACCCACGATGCATAACGCATGAATGACTTTCGTATCATAGTACAAATGAAAACCGTTAATGAGCAAATGTATCATGGATGATACACAAATATTTATAATAAATTGTTTTTTTATACTTTGTTTTGATAAAACCGTATAGTAATATTCATTAGTATGTTTATACCACATAAATAATAAACAATTAATAGTTATTACATTATTATAAAACCATATTAATAGTATTGATAGTAGAAATTCGTGCATTAAGAGGTTTTTAATAATATTTTATTACTTTTTAATTGAAAATTAGATAACTTTTATTTAAAATGTTGTACATTTTACTTTATAGTCTAAATTATGTATTATTTTTGAAGGTTTAAGATAGCGAAAAATATTTTGAGTGACTCTCAAAAAATTTATTTGATGAATTTTGATATTTGTGATGACTTTGATTGTTCAAATGTGGAATTTAACTTGAGAAAGTATGTATTTTATTTTGCTGTACCTATGATTTTTTTTAACCTTTAATTTATGAATAATTGTTTTTAGAGGATGTTATGAAAAATATAGATTTATAATAGGATATTGAAATCCTTATATTAGAAAAAATGTAAATCTATTCTTTTTCTTCTTCTTCTTGGGTATTACCGGCCACCAGGACCAATCCGTCAAACATCCAGTCCTCCAGGTGTCTCGATCCGCTGCTTTTGTTTTTCAATATGGGCCACCTTTCAACGATACCACGTCTCTTTTTACTATATCTTTCCATCTTAAATGGGGGCGCCCAAGAGGTCTTTTTCCTACTGGGTCCTCTGCCAATACCAAGTGCAGCAGTCCGTTCTGTCTACGTCACGCGTGACCTAACCTTAAGTCTCCTACTCCGGATTATATCCAATATGTTTGGCTACTGAAAAAGATCCTCCAGTTCTTTGTTTTTCCTTATTCTCCATTCCTCAGTTAAATCGTCTTTTACTGGACCAAGAATTTTTCCAAGGATTTTCCTCTCAAAAATAATCAGTTTATTTTCCTCTGTTTTTCTTAATATCCATGTTTCTGATCCATATGTAATTATAGTAATATAATTATATATATATATAAATCTATAGTAAGTGTAATTTATAAATACTCACTAATTACTGGCATACAGAATTTGAATAGTTTCTAATTGGAAATAGAAAATGTATGGCTGTGTGGTACTATCACAGGTCTTTCTGACTTCTTTATCAATACTGGTTTATATTTTTTAATAGCTTGTTCTGAATAGTTCGTTGCCACGTACTTTTTATTATATTAATTACATTTATTATACTTTCTTCTTCTTTCTAAATCAATAATAAGCATTAAAAGCTTAATAAAATCGATAATTAAGTACATAATTTATAATTCATACCTCTCTCGACATTTCTTCGTAATGAGAATATTTTTCTTTTATTTCTGGTTCAAAAATCATCCATTCTTGAGCACGCCTTTCAGTGTTTAAACATTTATTTTTTGACTCACTTTTTTTTTAAGTTTAAGTACAAATGGTTTACTTTTTAATACAGTTGCTGGACGAGCTTTAAATGTCCACTGAGACTATACTTTTCACATTCTTAATAAAAAATAAATATTTAAGATTATAATTTAATAAAAAAAAAAAATGATTTATTGAATTAAAAGAGATATTTTAACACTTAGAACTATTCGTAAATACCGAATTCCTAATTGTTAGTTTTCATCAGAAAAAATAATGTTTAAAGAACCCAGGGGAATTTCATAAGAATATTTAACTGTATTTAATAGTGTTCCAATAACTTCAGTCATATGGAAAGATAATATACTGGTGACACTTCTTTCATCTTATTGTGGAATATTACCTGAAATGTCTATCAATCGATTTGATAAAAAATTAAAAAGAAATATGGAAATAAAGTTCCCTTCTATATTTAAAGTATATAACCGCCATACGGGAGGTGCTGATCTCCTTGATTCTTTAATTAGACGTTATAAAATTAAAATACGAACAAAAAAATAGTGCATGAGGGTTTGGTACCACATCATTGATATATCAATCGTTAATGCATGGTTACTCTGTAGACGAGTGGAAAATGAAAATTTAAAGTAAATACCTAAATTTAGTTTATTTGATTTTTGGACAAAAGTTGCATTTTCGTTGATAACGTCTGTACTTGCTCCAAAAAAAGGCAGACTATCTAATGAAGAAAAAAAACAGATAAAAAATCTTGAACAACATACTCATTTAATAACGCCTGAAGAAATCAGTAGAGATGGTTTACATCATTAGCCAGAATATATAAAGAACAAGGCAACGGTGAAAGTATCAAAAATGTGGAAAACTAACACAATGCACTTTTACTAAATGTGATATTTTTGTTGCGGTGTCAACAGAAATTATTTTAAAAATGTGTGTACAAAATAACAAACAATTTTTTTGTTCCTAATTAAGTAAAAATGTATTGTATAAATTTGTTTAGTTTTAAATATATTCAGTTTATAATTCTTATTATAACATAATATTATTGAGACTTAAGAATAAATAAAGGTTTATTATTCGAAAAAAAAAATGTTTTATGTTTTAAGCGCGCGATTTATCATAGGTGATACATTTTAAAAAAAATCTATACAAATTAAAAAAAAAATATTTTTCCAATGTTCCATAATTACAGGTGCACAAATTTCTCCGCTAAAATAATCAGAACTTAAATTTAATTCGCGCAGTGTAGGATTAATATTGGCGATCGACGATATCGTCATTTCGGAAAAAATAAATGCCCACACCACGACCTTAGACTAATGTTCTGAGGCCGTGGCCCGCACTAAAGAGTAAGAATAGATAAAAACAAAAATCAAATATATGATTATATCATTCGATTCATGAGACTGCCTGATCCCCTACAATTATGTTAATTATTATTTTATTTTTATTTTCTATCGTAACATTTGCTATCAAAATATATTATATTTGGAATTTAAATATTTGTTTAGTTGAAAAGTGGTATTCAAAACATACGTAAGGTTGGCTGACTGGAGGGATGAGAGACGATGCCCTTCTACGAGTCTGTGTTAAATAATTGGTCACGTGGAACGCAGTTTTCAAATCGTTGAACTGAGCTCCTCTACTTAATTTTTCCCAATTCGAGCACTGACTAGAGGCTATTAATTAAATCAAATTTTAAATAAAGAATACAATTACTATAAAAGTATCTAGAAATCGTATGTTTTTAACATAAATAGGTATAATAGGTGCCTATTAAACATTTGATTAGGTATTGTCATTTGAATACAATACTAAATAATACTGATACAAAAGGAGTGATTCAAATAGATCATTAATTAGCCTTTTGATATCGATAATTCAAAAGAGAAAGGTAATCTTTAATCATATGAAAACAAAAGATGAAAAACTGCAATCAGTTATGGAACTATTATAATTAAGCTGATATTAATGATATCCAATGATGACCGATCATTAACATCGTCTTATGTTAAGTTTAAATAATCGATTTAGTGTTCAGAAAACGTTGACTATTTTTAGATCGGATACCTTTTCTTAAACATGGGTTATTGTTTGTTTTTAATATAAAGCCGTGACATGTTTGTACAGATGTTCGGGTTTAATACTTTAATAACATTCTATTACATTGTAAGTAATTAAGTATTTAAGAGTATTTAAAAGTATTTAAGTATTAAAGTAATAATTACAATATAAAGACTGTAAAACAGTTACATAGACGTCATTTTATCCCAGTTCCACTATAAATAATTGCTTAAAACCAATTGTTAACATCAGATATGGAATACTGTAAAAACTACTGTAAAAACGTATTTCAGTATAGTTAAAACACGTTTTCAAAATAAACAATAATTTAATTAAAATAGTTTCTCAGAATACTATAGGTAATATATTTATTATACAACATATATCATTAGAATTGTAATCGAGTAATCAGTACTCAGTTCATTTTAAGAAGTATTTCTTTTAAATACTATAAACATAAGCTTAATATAATTAATATAATTATCTTGAATGCTCTAAAAATGTATCATAAATAATATCTGTAGTAATTTTTATTTTTGTTTAGTCAGTATTCACATTATGAGTTCATAATTTCGACGAAATCATCAATTGTGTTATAACTTTTGTAGAGTTATAAAAAAAAATTAGTAAAATAAAAAGTATTCAATTTTAATTACAGGGTATTATTCCATAGCCTGAAAAATATTTGGTATTATTATCCAGTACTCAAATCTTTAAATACCTATTCATTTGTTAATCATGGTTTTTAAACTAATGATAATTACAGGGACTAAAATTTAGTGCAGTACGACACACTTAGAGTAATACGAAATCAATGCCGCAAAAACCGAGTGTGCAGAATGTGCAATGCATGTAGGCCCTGGATCATTGTACCATATTATGGATCTTCAAAAGGTCAAATACTCAAAAACGTATAACGATAAGGGGCCTCAAAATTTTGATAAGCACACGGACCTCGAGTAGTTTGATTACGGCACTGTACGAAATGTTAAGTGTGCAATACGAAATTAAAAATTGCGTTGTTGTTTTATTCTCTATATTATGGTATTTGTTTTTAATTTAATTTTTTTTTCTAAATTATCTTATATATTTTTTAAATTCCAAGATGTGTCATCAGCAAAATCTAAAATACCAACTATTTTAACTGCGTTACTTATTACTGTTAACGTTTGAAAGGGGAGTATGACAAAAATCTTAAGTGTGCAGTACAAAAAATGATATATTTTAGCCTCTGGATAATTATTATAGGGTTTTGAAGAGTACATTATGAGTTTGAGACGATGTTAACGAGACTTCATATAATTTCTTGCAAATGATGTTCTCCCTTCCCTCCCGATGCTTAAGAAATGTTTGATAATTATATTTTACTTGTTATTCGGCGACCTGATTTCCAATGGCACAATGCATAATATTAAAAACAAATAAAGGTCAGTTCTTGCGCATTAACATAATTTAAAATAATTTATCCGTATATAACCGTTACTCTCGAGGGGGTGTCTGGCACAGAAAAATTCAATAACGACCAAACAAAATAATTTAACAAATTATATATTTATGCATGGTGATTTTATTTAATGTGAATATGCGATTTTTTTTCACTTTTATCTATGGGTTTTCGAAAAAAATAATTTCTTTCGTATATCATTTTTTAATTATCATAACTCAAAGTGTTCATTATTTTCATCGTAGTGATCTCCAGTGTTATTGAAAAATTACCTTCTATGTACAATAAAAAAAATTACATCGACAAAAGTGGGTCGTATCGCTCTCGTCGTCATTTATATGAGTTGTGTCTCACAAAGGAGTTTGAAATAATAATTTTCGTGTAAAAAAATAACATAATATTTATGGTTTATAATTAGTTCTTCTGGTACTCTTTGAAAGTTTCACCACCATCACAGGCTAAAAAATATCTCTCTAATTGCAATTTGCAATTTGCTTTGATTGGTCGGCCAGTGGCCTATGTAGAGTACCAGGATGAGCCTTTACACTCAGTGTGAGGTGTTGCATGGGTGTGTTGTTTTTATTTATTCTAGGCTAGCCATGATAGGTGTGAGTGTTTACTGAGGGATAGTGTATGTTGATCCTTGAGGAACACCAGCTTCAATTTTCCGTGACATAGATAGGTGCTCATTGATTTTAATTGTGAAAGTTCGATCCGTATGGAAGGAGTCTATTAGTTTAACTAGTGGGTGAGGGATATTCGCAAGTAATAGTTTATGGACGAATCCTTGGTGCCACGCGTGGTCGAACGCTTTCGCCACGTCCAAGAAAATGGCCACTGTTTTTTCCTTTTCACTTTGTTTCTTTGTTAGATCGTCCACTAGTGTTATGAGTTGTGTAGTCGTAGAGTGACCTGTGCGAATGGCATGTTGCTTGTGTATAATTTTAGTGTAGCTGCTTAGTTTTGTGAGAATTATCCTTTAGAAGATTTTTGACATGGTGTTTAGTAGAGAGATAGGTCTGTCGTTATCTGATATGAGGTGGTCTTTCATTGGTTTAGGGACCATTACTATCTGAGCTTTATTCCACTGAACGAGAGATTATGAATGTCTAAAGCAGGATGTGTAGATGTTCGCCAGGAAGATAAAAGCAGTTTTTGATAGAAACTTCAAGGCTTTGTTCGTTATGCAATCTTCACCTGGTGCTTTTGCTGGTGGTAGGCGCTTAACGATATTCCATACTTCGTTTGGTGTTACATAAATATCTGATGGAGATGAGTTGGTGTCACGAAGTTTTAAGATTGAGTTAGTTACTTCGGGTAGTGGGGGACCCGGTTTGCAGAGCCGTAGCAAGGGCTTGGCGAGACTGGCCCATGCCAGAGGCGCAACAAAAAAAAGAGCGCAAAAGACAGAATTTAAATATTTATATACCTATGTCTTTATTAATAATATAGGTATGTACATAATACATTTTATTTATAATATACACAAAATTGTTTTCAATTTATAGTTATATTTACAAAATTATATGATATCATAATAATGTACCGAGAGATAATTTAATATTCTAAGAACTGTTGAACATTGGTGGCCTATAATATGTTTGTATTTAGTGTATATTTATTAGATGCATACTGCATATTATAGATAAAAACAGTATTCCAAAGTTCTTATCTAAAATCTTCCACCAATATATACATATTATTTAATAATTAATTAATAATATCACAAACACAGAACAATAATAATATAGATACTCGTATTTCAATATATTTTAATAATTTTATACGAGTTTGTGAAGCTTGCATATTGCATGAAGATCTTCAAAAACTTATACAGTAAGTAGTTGATTATTATAATTAATTTAAATTTAATAAATTATAGTTCATATATTATGTTAAGTTTTAGAGCTGTAGAGTTCTAGATTTTATTACAAAATAATTATTTATATGCAGTGGCGACTCGTGTTAAGGCGCGCGTGTGATGGTGTGATAGCACTTCCTACGAAATTTTAAAATAAAATGAAACTTGAAACTATACTTGTTATAATTATTAATTTATATTTTGTCAAATTAATTTAAATGATTAATTCAAATTCTGTTGGAAAATTATATTTGGAGAAAAATATCATCGTAATCCGGAAATTTCAATGCAATAAGAATAATCTAAAAATTTAACATAGGCCGAGCGAACAACTCCTATGTTTCAGTTTCGTTGGTCAATTATCATTATGTGATTCGGTCTGATGAAGAGTAGGGATTACTTTATTATCCATATAGTGGTATTTAATCATATTTCATAATAATAATAATAACAATAATTAAAATTCATCCATCATGGGTATAGGCTAACTAATCATTCATAAATAATGGGTAAACGCAAGCTTCTAATTTTTCATCACCATAAGGCAGGGACGTATTAAGAATGGGGGGGGGGGGTTGATATGGGTGTTAGAACACCTTCCATCGACCATATTCTATAGTCAATTTTATCAAATTGCAAACTTCCAGTATAATTTGAATAAACGTTGTATACAACTTGTCAATTTTACATACACTGTTTTAATATAATCATTTTCATAAGTATAATAATTTATATAAATACATGGTATTTATTTATTTAATATAGGAGGGGAGAAGAGCCTCCCACTTAACATAAGTCTATTAAATTTTAAAACATCCTCGTTAAATTAATCCTGGATACGCCACTGCTATAAGGCATACATTATACAACAACAGTATAGAATTTATTATTATTATTATTATTATTATTATTATTATTATACACTATAGCCACTATCCAAAAATAGCCTCGTACTCGCATAAACTTTTTGAGGACAACTTAATTCAACACTTAAATGAACGATTTTTGAACCATAAAAATACAATATCTGACTTTTTTTGTCTAATTTCTTATGAAACTTATGATAACCAAGTAATCAAAGATTTAGTGAATGTTATTCAGATGATGTTGATCAAGACGTTTTTGAAGTAAAATTAAAGCTTTGGTGTATACATTTTCAAAAATTAAGTGTACACGGTCTTGTAGAATCTAGATGTTCTTGATAAGTGCAATAAAGACTTTTTTCCAAATTTATTCAAATTGCTTCATACTTTTGCAACACTACATATTACATTGTGTGAACTAGAAAGAAGTACTCCCACATTAAAAAGAATTATTACTAATCTTCAAAATTCTGTTGGCCATTTAAGGCTTAATGGCTTTGTAGTATAGCATATTTATCGTGAAGTCGATATTGAAGTTGAAATTGAGGAAGTTATTAAAATATTAATAAAACAAAACCGTCATACTGACTTTATTTTATAACTATGTATACTATATTTATATTATAATTATATATATTTATATATATACCTTAATTATTTTTCTTATTTCATATTTATTTTATTTTTATAGGTTATATTATTATATTGTTATTCTATAACATAGTGGTAAGAGATTTTTCAGTGATGAGCAAAAAAAAATTCATGTTTATTACGCCCCCCTTGAAAAAATCTTACGTATGCCACTGGTATATACCATGTACATAACTATTTATACGAATAATGTTTTATTATGCGTATTAATTTTAACACAAGTTACACTGTATAACTATTAGATACTATTTATATCCAGTCACCTGTATCTTTCTATGCAGAAGGAGTGATTTAAAAGTTTTAAGAAGTTAAAATGGATATTATAAATAGTATTAACCTTCAAAGTAAGTACATATTTTGATTTTATAATTGATTTTTTGTTTAATAAGGTTTCATAATGTATAAGAGATTATTTTTATATTTTGTATTCACAATTTAGATACTGATGATTCCAAAAACAAATCCAAAAATAGGGATCTGGGTATACGGCGTAAACCCTCGTATACCCTCCAATACACCACTGTAATTAACCAATATAAATCTATATAAATAATTATGTAACATATTATAATTGACAATACAAAATAATTACCATAAAGGTTTGTATAGTAAATAATAATATATTGAGTAGTGGGAAAAATTAACTACGAATACATTATAATTGTTTAGTCGAAAAATAACAGTAGTGTCAGTTTTCATTAACTTTTATTTTAACTTCTGTGTGTTTTTAATTGTTTATTTATTTCATTATTGAAACAGTGAAAAATCATTATACAGTGATGTATTATAAGTATCTTATAATGATGTATATAATACCACAGTCAATAGGTCACCTTGTCACCAAATAAATCAAAGGTACTTCTTACTTATCTACCTAACCTATGTTGTATTCTGGTGTTAAAAATAATTTAACGCAACAATCATAATACGTGTTCTCTCAGTTATCACAAATAGACTAAACTTTACATTTATAACAAAAAAATAAATAGTAAAACAGACATAACTAATTTTAATATTAGATCTAAGAACTTTTCAACATTTTTAGGATTAGTGTAAATAATAATAAATAATAATTACATTACATATAATCAGTGTTGTATTTACGGGGGGGGGGGGGGGGGGCCCGGGTCTCGACCCCCCCAGAAAAAAATTTAAAAAGTCAAAAAAACTTGGTACTTAAGTACCGAGAAAGAGAATATTAATTTTATATTATGAGTTTTTACTTTGGTTTAACTTTTGGTTATTTTTGTCGCGTCGTTTGATATTGAAATTAAAATTCCGAGATTAACAAAAAAACAAACTAATAGATGCAATATACCATTAAATACTCCGGAACAATATTATCGAGCATCAATTTTTATTCCTTATCTTGACAAATGTATTACAGAGTTAGAAGAAAAGTTCAATGTTCATCGATCGATTTTATCAGGTTTCGATTCTCTATTTAGGGAAAATGGTACCATCGAAGATATTATAATTCTTTCAAATAAATATATTAAAGATTTGCAGAATGATGGATCTCAAAATCAAATTATTGAAGCAGAACACAAATTATGGCAGAGAAAACTCATACAAACAACAGAGAAACCAAATAATGCTCTAGAGGCTATGGCTATGTGTAACCAGTCAATTTATCCAAACATATTTAAACTACTTCAAATCTTAGTCACGCTACCTGTTTCCTCTGCAACAAATGAAAGAACATTTTCAAATTTAAAAAGAATAAAAACGTATCTAAGGAATTCCATGTCAGAGGTAAATTATTATAAACTTAAAAAAATATTCTTGTTATTTACAAATTACAATTAAACACTTTGTTTATTTTTTTGTTTATAGGGAAGATTGAACGGTTTAGCGATGTTATCAATAAATAAAAACTACTCAATAAAACCGGAAGAAGTTATTGAAGAACTGGCGAGGAAAAAAAGGAAAAAAAAACTATTAATTTGTATTAATAAATCATAATAGTAGTGAAATATACATAATTTAATATAAACAACATAGTTATTACATATTTACATCATAACTCTTATGTGTTTTTTTTATATTATAAACTTATAGGTACTTAATATTTAGACCCCCCCCCCACAAAAAATTTGAAAATACGCCACTGTATATAATATACTATTAGTGTATATACTAATTATGTAGAATGATAAGTTTGATTTTAATTTTAATTTTTGTTTTTAGCCATTATGATTTTTACTTGTAATGTATAGTTGTTATACCGGCGCAATAGATGTATACTATACAGGTAGTGTCCCAAATGCAGGGCAATTGACGAATACCGATATAAATAAGCATTACCAATTATAATTTATAAATATGCTTTCTGAAAATACGTCAGATATTGTCGGCGCGGAACCCGTATGGCCTGCCTCATCAAAAATAATTTCGGTGAACACCGATGAAACATTAGTAATAATACACAAGAAATAAGTTATAAATTGACAATAAGTACATATTTTATGTGGTATGTGCATTTTATAGTTGTTATACAACTAATATGATTGCTTTATTAATAAGTTACGAGTTATGAGAATTACAAAAAGAAAATATCGTTAAAGGCAAGGGTGTATTGGTATATGGCTTATACCCATCAGCAGATTTTCGATTTTCGGCGTACCTATACCTAATGTAAAATATTATTTTACTGGTAGACGCTTCTAAAATAACTCGAAAACAAAAAAAAAAATAATAATAATTTAATAGTTATTAATAGTATTGGAAAAAATTAATATAAATCATGAAATTTAATGAAATATTTAGCTGTTGAAGATTACAGTGTACGCTGTGTATTTTGTTAACTATAGTGAATAACATTGAATAAAATAGTATTGATTGTGAACATTCAGTCCATGGTTCTTAAATCTACATCATGCAATTTATAATGCGCTGCAAATGTACATCTTGTGGTGTTATATTTTATAATATTAATTTAAATCATTTTTATAGTCTTAATAGAAGTTATAAACATGTAGTTACAAAGGATTAATTTAATTTTTTCGAATGTATCGAGAGAAAACAATTGTCGAGCGAAGCTAGAAAATTTATTTTAGGATTAATATCCATATTTTTTTAGTGTGTATACCCATAAATATATTTACCAATACATCACTGCAAGCATGGTAAGTTCATTTGATATTTTTGTTTCCGAAATATCAAGAGGGAGGCCTTTAATCACAATTTTCAATGATCTTTCTTCTTTCATTGGGAAAGAGAAGGATTCTATGGATTTTCGGTTTGTTACTAAGAAATTTTGGACGGTACGGAAGGAGATTTCGTCAGGGCAGTTGATTCTAATTTATGATGGAGTGGACGTGATTTTTGCAGTGATGTTTTCTAGACTGTTAATTTTGAATAGCTCTTTGGCAATCGTGTGCCATGGTAAACTTGGGTGAGTAAGAACGAAGATCGGTGAGAAGTGGAGGTTGGTTTGTAAGAGTGGTTACTACTGAGAGACGAAGAGGTGGAATAGGTCTTACCTAAGTATGACGATTCGTTATCAGACTATAGATGAAATTCCTTTTCGAACTTCGTTTCCACGGAAGTCTTGGCGTCTGGAGCACCTGGACTGTTTCTGGTGTTACGAACTTTCTTCGAGGAAGGTCTGTTTGAGATAGGTTAGACGCCATCTCTTTTATTTCTGCCTCGACTACCTCTGTGGCCACCCATGGCAAGCTTGAATGTTTGCTGCTGTTAAATTAATAAGACAGGACCGTTTGATAGAACTGCCAGAAGGTGATTGAAACATCTCTTCACTTTGTAATGGAGTGCATTTATAGTAAATCGGCCCTTTTCAGTGCCACAAATAACAACGTTACGACGTTACAACAGCACGAAGGAAACCAATATAACAGAAGAATAGTGCCGTTTTACATCGTCTACGGGGAAGACAGGAAGCCGTCGAATGAGAATGGAGCGTCGATGTTCGATTAGGTATAAATACCGGTCACTTTTCCGAGCATCGTCACTCCATTCTTCTATCCACAACTATCAACAACTCAAAATATCAACAGGAAAAATAGTAGTACCCAACGGCGATTACGATGATGGCAGCAACGGCTGCGGCGATAACGACAACGATGACCGCAGCGAAAATGACGTCGACGACTGCACAGTGGATGCAGCAATCGCAGCCGTGAAAACACCGACGAAACGACAACCACGAATCCGGCCCCAGCGGCATTTGCACGCGGGGCTCCCCGGTTCGTGGATCTATTAGCCGATACTAAAACGGCCCTTTTCAGGGCCAATACTCGCGAAACCTTTTCGGCACGCTTGTTTGAGCGTTCGCTTGTAAAATGGTCACGTTCGCTTGCTGTGCGTCTACTATCGAGCGTACTATCGAGACTCAGGTCTCCCAGTCGCATCTGCTAAGGTCCGATACCGCCCGCCGCGGCCGCTTGTTCGTGCCAGCCGCGTGGCCCAGAATATCCCCTTCAATAAATTATATAATTTTTGTTAAGGTTAAATGTACAATATAATATTTATTCACGTGTATTTATGTCCGATGTCGGTAACCCCGTACACCGTTTCAACTTTTCCATTCCTAATCCTAATTATGCATATATAAAAAAAAAAAAAAAAAATAGAAAATAGAAAATTTCTATTGAAGGTAAGAATATTTTATGATTAATCAAGTGTGTAAATAGTAGTAAATGTAATTAAATTACAAGTATATAAGATTAATGTTTTTACTTTTTTTGTGTAATTTAATAAGTTTATATAAAAAGAACAATTAATAATTACTTGTTATTTTAATATATTATAGAGTTTTTAAAAGTTTTAGTTGAACAATTCACATAATAATGATTAATATTAAATGAGAGATAAGTTAAACTTTATTACTTGTTTTAATTATTATTAGTTTAACACTTCAATATTAAATGTAAATTAATGTTTTTTTTTTTTTTTTTTAACAGTTAGTTAACCGAATAATTATTAATTTATAGCTACTAATTGGAGTATATTTCCATGTAAGTAGTTTATATATTCATATGTTCATTTGTGAATTTAGCAATTAGTAACTTCAATACTATTATACTTTATTAATATTTTAAAGCACCAACTTACCGCTGAATTATATGTGATAGAGAATATTTTATTTTTATTACTTCCGACAGCGTAACGACTCAAATTGGAAGTTATACATCATAGATTAAATTAACTTTAGGCTAGATACATTTTTTATTGTTCCGAACAAAACTTAAATCACGCCCCTCGTTAGCTAAATATATATATATATATTTATAAAGTACGAGACGAAAATATAAATCCGACCGTTCTACACATGTATTACTGAATACTGAGTGCGAATCGACTCATGGGAAATCCTTAGCAAGTTGAAAATTGCAACTTTAAGTCCAATAAAAGTATTACTTCAAATACCTACAGTTTTAAAGTTCACCGAAAATGTTAATGAATCGAAATAAAAATTATTCAACAACACATCTTAACTTAAACGTAGAGTTACGTGTTAATAGTTTTTACATTATTTCGTTGTTGAAAACTATATACACATGTTTTGAAGCATTATGACGGTTTCAGTTTGTATTATACCACATTGACCGATTTCCTATACTTTGACCTTAACATACATTTACTATATTGTGTATAACGTATATCGTGTACTAAAAAACGATATAATAGAAACTATTTCCGTTAATATCAATTCTTAAAGGATGTCAGTGAAAGATAATAGTAACATGTTATTTCTGTGACAGAAGCTCTGTATATCAATCATATACACTCGTATAACGCACAATATAACATCAAAACCGTATTTCCAATTTCCTACACTAAACCTATTTAGAATTATGTTAACTGGGTTCTGTTAAAATCATCGAGTAGCAATAAGAATATTTAGTGACCGCAGTATTATTTTTCCATAATATGTAGTCGGTAGGTAACTATTATAGGTTTAAGTTTATTCCTAACGGCTTTTATACGATATTTTAAAACATCTGCAGTTTTAAAAATGTCAGCCTAAAAATAAGTTTGGTAGCAGGAAGCAGTGCATTTTTGTACACTGTGGTAATTTTTATTTTTCTAATACATTTATTTATTGGATTATGGATATGGGAAAGGCCCGTATACAGGAAAATAAAAAATTGTTAGTTTATTTTTGTTAAACATCGTAGAATTTGCAATAAATTGTAATTTAATTTATCAACGAAACGAAATAACAGAAATTCTGGAACAATGGTCAATGGCTAAAGGAAAGTAAGTTAGTTATGTTTAAAAACATAAGTCTTCATTAGCAAGCTTCAAAGTAATATTTTGTATTAATATTTGGATATATATAGAGAATTTCCTTTCAACTGAAATATCGAAATATATTTAATACAATCACGTATTTGTCACAATTATCTGGTAAGTCATTTTGGCGGTTATGGTACTCTATATGACACTATCAATTTAATGTAATACTAATGTATTCGATAAACGCCAACAAACCGATGATGGTAAACTGACATCCGACTCGTCATTAAAATAAAAAAAAAATGATTGACCTTGATGATAATATAAATGAAGTACATATTATAATAAAAGTATGTATATATATATTTATATTTATATGTATATTATACATATATATAAATATATTTATTTAAATTCATTCATTTCTATTTTTCTAATTATTATGTAATATACATAAAATACAGGCGTTATTTATCACTCCTACTTTTATTTTACTACGCGTGTGAATTTGTGTGTGTGTGTGTGTGTTCATACACATATCGCATTATCTATTTATTTTTAAATTTGTTGTTTTATTTTTTGTACAGTTATTTGTACATTAGAATTGAACGTATACAGTCACGTATTAATCTCCGAATCGTTTGTCAAACGTGATGTTGTAGACATAAGTGTCTCGTCGGAACATTCAATAATCACTGCTCATTTTATAATTAATATTATTATTACTTATTTGTATTTCACAAAAAATAATAAAAAAAATATTTAAAAAAAAAAAAAATCTCGGTTTAAAATTGTTTCGAAAATCAATTTAAAATGGAGAAAATTTTAACAATAATAGTTTTTTCTTTAATTGTCAACTACTCCCTTGCAGCTGGTAAGTAATTTTGTGTATATAGGTATTCAATTACAGTTATACTATTCACCAGAAGCTTAATTACTTTTATTTTACGATCAACTCCTGATAAACCTATAAATGGGTTTATTTTTAACAATATATTATTGTATTTAACACAGTTTTTATGGCGTGTACATTTTAGACAATTTGGAAAATACGTTAAACCACTGTTGTAACATAGGAAAATCATGGAGCACGGACAAAAAATCTTGCAATATTACCTTGTCATTTCCTATGTTCAGTGTCGCTTCTGAACACAATGACATGTGTTTAAATACAGTTGGAGCTTGTTGTTTGGACTCATTAAGGTAGATCTTATTTTTCCACATGTGCGATATTTTATAATATTCTACATATTATAATACCAGCTTTGTTTTTCATAATTATCACTTTCAAATTCGTTTAAGCGAAGTTATAATAAATGCTGTTATTGTATCTAATAAATATTAATACTACAATATTGTTATATGATGAAACATAAAAGCTTCAAAGCGTAACTCCACACATATATTAACAGTTTGACATTAATGGTTATTTCACAAGAAAATAACTGAAATTAATATAAATAATTCAATGATTTAGATACAGCAATTAATTTCTGATACACTAATATACAGTTTTAAATTTTTAAAACATTGATTCATATAACTAACATATGATTTAAAAGTAGATTTATTGGTCAGATCAGTATACTTTAGTGTTACTGTTATATTTCCTGTATGATATTTGAAAAAAAAAAAATGTTAAACAAATTATTTAATGAAATAATATTATTATAAAATATATTTTATTATAATAAATTGTTATTATAATAATTATATACATTGTAATGTCATATGATTAATAAAAAACTCGGATGTATATAACTACTGGCACAAGTAACTAGTAGTACATAAGTTTTACAAGAAAGAATGTCTAATTTATTAAAAAAAAAAGAAAATTTATTTTTCAATTCGATTAATGAATAAAACGTATTTTTTAAACAATTTAAATTTATATCGAATAATCTATTGATAAATTACAGAGAAATGCGATGTAATGAAGGCAAACAGATGGCGTTAGAAAATAAAACGTGCAATGAAAAAACTCAAAAAGGAAAAAATCAAGTAGATTCCATGGTACGTACCATAATATTATTTTAGTTCTACCTGATATACCTATATTAAAGTATATTTATTAGTTGATATTTTTGTTTGGAACTCGATGAGTAACACCCAGAAATATTTTAAATTTATAAAATCATGTATTATACATGAATAAAATATAGAATTTGTTTTATAATATAAATAATTGTCCCTCAAACAAATCTGCAGGCATTCACATTATTAATACATGTACACAAATTCAATTAAATAGTTTAAATTTTATATAAATTATCTGTCTTTAGTACAATACACTTCTAAAATATCTTCATTATTGAATGAGTTAACAATATCCCTGGAATTTGTAAAACGCAGTCTTGTAGTATACTGGTTCATAACTAATTTTTGTTACCTACGTCTCACAGAAGATAACAATTTCTCACAAATGGCTGAGCTTATGTGAATACATATTGCCACTTGTAGTATTTTATAAAAACTAAGATAAAAATGTTTTTCTTTCACTTAACTAAAATAATTTTTATCTAAATCAAGTTTAATAATTTTCATGCAGTTTTTTGCTTCAACAATTTCTTGAGTTATAGCATGAATATCTATTATTAATACATCCTAAAAAATATTAAATATTAAAATAAATTTGTTTAGAATATTGAAAAATTAAGTATTGTAAAACAATAATTATTTCGTGTGATGTGATTATAGACATAGATGATTAGATTTTATCTCAATCTCAAAAACAAAATTCTGAGATTCATTATTTTTAATCTGAGATAGCTATGGGAATATTTATGATGGCTAAGCCCTTCTAGTTGTACCTATGATATTCGATATTTATTTAATTCGTGTGCTGACCAAAAATGCGAATAGAGGAATACGTGTTTTTTTTTATCTAAATTCTCAGCGGTACTTTTATACGTATCTTAATCTAATATATGTAGCTATCTTTATAGATTCGAATGATTCAATGGATTAAGATTTTGGTGATCTTACTAATGATGAAAATACAAATTACTTATTCTAATGGCTATGCCAATACATTTGTCTAAGTATAAGTATAGTAATTTCGGTGACTTTTGTTATTGTTTAAAAAATATTTTCTCGTGAGCAGTGCTGGATTACCTATTAGGCGGAGTAGGTAACTATATTTTTTTATTTAATAATACCTGTATTTTATCTACGGAACAATAATCATTATGAAATATAATAAATATTAAGTTGTATGTGTTATATGCAGTAATAATAATAAAATTATTTTGAATAAAATATAATTAATATAATAATTAATTAATTTTTTTTGCAAAAAAAATGTAATAAACATGATTTTATTTATTAGAACTAGTTGGTTATTATTAAAGCTGTTTATTTTAATTATTGGATAGTAATATTAAAGATGTATGTAAAAAAATAATTTTGTAGGGCCCAAAATTGTAAATGCCTAAGGACCCACAAATGTTTAATTCGGCACTGCTCGTGAGATTGAATAGTAAATGATTTATCCACATCGGAGAAATAGTTTTTTCGCTTAAAACATTTGTAAACCAATAGTACTTTAAAATTACAATTAATTTTAAGTATCTAATTTAAATGAAAGAGTGAATATATTTTGTTGTTTTTTTCGCAAAAAGTTATAAAAGATTTTGAAATAAATTTTTTCATCAATAAATTACTAAATCTTGAAAATGATCATTAAATATGCATATTTGTATGAAAATATTATAATTGATTTTAGTTCTTCATATTTTCTGAGTGGCACTCAGAGTATGTTTTTTTAAAATACTATAAGAAGTTGTTTTGAATTTTAAATAAAAATAATAATTAGACGTATAAAACTTATAATGCACAAAAACGATAAACCTACGTATAATAATAATAATAAAAAAATGAAAAATTTTGCGAATACTTAGAAACACAAAACTAAATGAATATAATTTGATATGATTGATAAAACGGATTAGTAGCCAGATTAACATTCCATAGTATTCAAAGAAGCAAAAGGTACAAAAGCCTTCAGTATATTGTATTATAATTATGTTACTGTTATCTGCGTCGAACAATGGCCAACAGCGGAAATTAATTTAATTTTAACCTCCGGTACCTACTATCAAAGTAGTTCAAAAAATTGTTTGCATACGATCGTTATCGACCTATTATTTTAAAATTGAAGATTATGCAGATGATAATGAAATAGTGTAATAGACATAAATTCGTTTAGTACATTAATGAAATAACATATGAACAATTAAATCGTTCGTCAGCGTTAGATACGATTAACTGTTATATTCGTCATGCTTTGTAAATGTAATAGTATTATAATATTATGGAATATGTATATATAATAATTTTTTAAATCAATAGTAAGGTTTATTTTAATCTTTTGGACGTGCAGTGACTGAGAATATTAACGAATGTAATAATTACAAAATTATTTTTATGCGATCCTCTAAAAATGTATTAGAACAGCTTATTGTATATTACTTCTTTTGTAATAATATTTATAATTCGTCATAATTGTCAAACTATTCTCTATATTTAATTTTTGAAAATCAAGTCGAAATATTAATACTGAAACATTAAATTTAACGAGTAAAACGATGTTGACCGGTATTAGAAAAATTGACCGGATAGCCTTTTTACTAGTAAATTTTTAAATTTAATTTAAATACACATGGACAATAATAATATTACATTATACAGCTGTAGAAATAATAATTAATATTTTTACGACTCTGAGACACATTCTAAATAACAATTAGCTTTCTATATTTAAATATCTATTCGCAGGGTTTTATATTTTAAATTGTTTTTGAAATATACATGTGAATAAACTCAAATTGTCGTGTATACTTATAATTTGTTACTATAAATAGATGTGTTGTGAAATATGCAAAATTGGAATTACTGTTGGTACAACAAAAACGATATGTGGGCCAACGCCAATATTGTTCGGCAATCATCAATGGGGTGAAGTATATCAGTCATGCTGCAGTGCTCCTAAAGCAAAATTAATTCCGACAGAAATTATAGAAAACTATAACATCGCTGGTCAGTTCATTTTGTATATTTTTCGTTAAACTCGCATTGGAATGTGTTATTTTTAACTTTAATATCCACAGGTATCTAGAAAGAAAAAACATAATTTCTCATAAATAATAAATATAAATAAAAATAATACTTATTTTTAAGTTTACAAATTTTAAACTTTAAAAAAAAATATTTCATAACTTTTGATTAACGTGAAATTATTGTACTAGATGCATTAATAATTATTAATTATTTATGAGCTAGATAGGTTACAATACAATAAAAAAGTAAATAATATGGTTAAAGTACAGGTTAAAAGTTACATTGTAAATTGTAAACATTTAATTTAATATTTTTATATCTAATAATATTATATAATAAGGAACAGAAAATAATTTTTAGTTCAGGTCAGGAATGAAGAAATAAGGATTTTAAAATATTTGAATATTTTTTACTGCTGGACACATATTTTATTCTTATTCTTATCGACATGATAAACCAATGATTTCCAATAAAGCTTTTTTTGTAATCAATTTTCGAGATGAAAATAATATAAAATGTAAATTTGTATGTTTATTATAATATATGCTCATAAATTATTAATTTATCAGGGATGCATATTGTATTTTTGTTGCAGTATTGATTTAATTCGGATTAAATAACCTCTATAGAGCGATTATATATCAATGTCAAATATTTTTTGATGATAAATGTTAGGTTAAGTTTGTTTTTAGAGTTGTATTATAAGTTTTTAATAATTCATCTAATCGCAAACGTTTTATATAATATAATTACAATATAAATTGACTTAAGCATTGCAAATTTATCCACATTTTTTGAATCATTTATGATATTTTTATTTCAGCAGATATTTGATAGTGAAAACTTTTTTTTCTGCATTTATTAAAATTCTTTTATTTATTATTGAAAAAATATAGTTTTAAATCGAACGCAATTTTATTTTATTTTCAATGTATTCTTTGAAAAATTATTCTATTATGTGAATCGATCCTTTTTTTCACGGTCAGTAATGTGGATATGATATAAAAGTCGTTTTGTATTGTTGTGACTTTTTATTTAATTAGATATACAACTTGTTTAATAGATCACATAATAACTTGAGATTTAATAATAATTCAAGGATAATGACCAAACGTTAATATAGCGCTTTGCTGTTTTTACATTTATAGACGTAAATTATAAGAAGGTCAAGGAGTCTAGCTCTTTTAAAATCAATGACACGTACACGCATTTTTAGTGGCAGGGGATTTAGTATAACATTAAAATAAACCAAAATCTCTTTTTATTACCATTTTTTCAAAATTAAAATAAAAACTTCCTAATTTCTTAAAAAAATATCTAGTTATTAACTTTTATTTTTTATTGAAGGTATTTAATGCGTTACGTACCTGTATATCATTTTTTTTTTTTTGTAAATTGAACAGAATTAAATAATTTACACAGAGCAATTGTATAAATATTAATGTACTCGAATAATATATTCTTATACCATATTTTTTTTTTATAAATTATCCTCAAACTCAATTTAATGTATACGTAAATAGAATATTTTTTCCATTTATTTCCTTTCATATTCAATGGCACTGAGTTGTTTGTACATTTAAAAGATTCAATTAAAATAAACTTCATTGAGTGTAACAATCAACGGATTGTGTATTATGTTTAATACTTGAATTCCACTAAAGCATTATCTGCCTCACATGTTGTATACAAATCCATATTCCCATGTTAAACTATACGCGTATTATATTCCGTCACGGGCACTCGATCGAATCGCATTTTTTCAGGCGTAAATCAATGCAACGACGGGACACATAATTGCGCACCAAAGGACAAGTGTGTCAGTACACCGCACGGATTTGAATGTCGTCCTCGTAAATTGCCGATCCCGTTGTCAATATCTCCTGAAAATTTGATCCGGCCTAGAAAGAAACCGAACTGCGAAGCCGGACACACCTACGACTTTACTGAGCAAAGGTGTAAAGGTAACGTTAACAGCTATAACAATTATTCAAATATAAACGCGTCTAGAAATATACACGTTTTTAACTATACAGTCTTATTTGAAAACAAATTTTAACGCTACCCTGTGTAAAAAAAATAATAATATTAAGTTGATGTCACAGAGCGTAATTTAATTCTTAATCAGAATAGACAACGTCCATAACCATAACACTGTCAGGTTTTATCCAAATGAAAACAATAGACGTTATGGTCGACCGAAGAGTTTAAATTTATTTTAAATTTGATTTAATTGTAAAATTATACATAAAAATGAAAATTGTAATATCATAAATTTACCTGGGAATAAAAATGGTGTTTCGATAATTAACAGTATTGTACTAGTTATGGAATATTCGTTCAGTAAAACATCGACTGAAAAAACTAAACCAAAAGAAAGGAGGAAGATGAGTTTTTTATAAACTACATACGAACCGGTGTAGGGTTTCACTCTTAAAATGTTTTGCGATTCGTATATAGCTATTTATAATGGACATATATAAATATAGCGTATAATAAAACGATATGATGTGTTTATTTATTTAAGTGCATTTAACATGTTTAACCCCAATACGTCTCCGTATTTATCAAACTTTATATGGGTACGTTAAATATGCGTTTAACACGTTTAACCCAAATACGTCTCCATGTTTATCAAACATTATATGGGTACGCTATTTGTTCACCTACGAGTACGAAAACATAGGATTAAAGCGGTCTCAAACTTTACGGAACACCTACACTTTTAAAGGCGGCACCCGTTTCGCCCAAAATTAATCTTTCCTGTTTCGACCAAAGCCATTTTAGTCGTTTTCAAATTAAGTTGGCAATGGTTTTTAAATAATATAATACATATGCTATTATTAATTTTTATTATTATTATTATTTTAACTATTTTTAAAAAAAGTCATAGGAAAAGTTTTTATAGAATACATATTTAAATTTAATTATACATTATTACAGTTATAGTAAAAAAAAAGCATTAAACAATTTACAATTTACATTTTATTATTTTTTACTAAAATTCACTAAAAGTCATAAAAAAAAAAATACATTTACAAAAATTATCATTTTTTAAAATTTCCACACATGCTTTTTATAAACTCATACCTCGTAATTTCGCCAGATCTATAGAAAAGTATACGTTTTTCATTATATTCCTGTCTTTCCTTCGTTTTTTTTATCTTTAGTTTTTTTTTAGGAATTTCAACACTATTAATTTTGATATAATTTTCTGTCTGGATGTCATTGAGTATAATATTTAACCAGCTTATTGTTGACGGGGAATTTGAATAAAAATTATTTTTGAAATACGAGTGAAATGATTCACACGCATTTGTTATGAGCTGTAAACTTGCTGAATTGCATGCCCATAATGTTGGATTCAAAACACTGTCCTCAGAAATATAGTATGGTAGAAACGGGTATCTGGGCGAAACGGGATGCGGCCACTTTTAAAATGTTTAAAACTTTCTGGTGGATACAAGACATAAATCGTTCATTAAATAATTAAAAGTTAATAACAATATTGTTCTTAGCGCACTAAAATTATCAAAATTAATAACTTACGAAAAACGTGGCCATTTAAAATAGTAAACAACAACACAATGGTCGCAATGAATGTGTTTACATTGTTGTATGCAATTATAATAAAAATGAAATCACAATAATAATTATTGTAATAATATATTTAAATGGCATAGTTAAATGTGTAATCTAGTAGACGCGTTAATTATTGGTTTTAAAGTATAATAATCAGCTTATTTAAATACATTTTTTACAAATCACGTCTGTCTGGGATTATTTCGCTTGGTAATGGATACTATTTACTAGTAATCGATCTGATAAAAAATATTCCTTGTATTAAAAGATAATAAATGTAATTTCTTGTATTTTATAATTATTAAATTCTAAATAACTAATTGATTATTACAATTTATTTTTATAGAACAACTGACATAGTATATTATTATATAATATAATATTTTAAACTTCTATGTTCAATTTTATTATTTATTTAGATGTCAATTGATTGATAATTGTAATTATATTTTTTTAAAGATATCGACGAATGTATACAACAGCCATGTGATATCAACGAACAGTGTCAAAATACAATTGGCAGTTTTAAATGTTTTTGTAAAAATGGTTTTCAATTAGACAACGTAACCAACGCTTGCACAGGTAATATTTCATGTCTAATATGTTAATATTACTTAAAAAAATATTAATATAAGAATTAATTGTTTTTTAAGTAAAATAATGGGCTTGAAACGTTACTTTAGAAAAGTCTTACCAAAATAAACTATTGTAATAAAATACAACCATGCCATTAACAGCTATATCCATTAACTACTAAACATTTATTAATAACAACAATAATATAAACAATATTCAACAACATATAGTTTAATTATTTTACGGGGAATTTAATTTATACAATAATATCCATATTATAATTATCGTAGTTAGTTGTTGAACATATTTTGAGAAAATATTATCTTAGAGTTCTGGGAAGGATAAATAATTCCAGTGAAAGGATTCAACAACTTCAGTATATTATCATAATAGCCGTTAATTATTTATGAAAAATTGCCATTAAATCATTCACCACTGTACACTACACTGATCTAGGTCAAATTATTTTTTATTTAAGAAGTATCAAGAAGGATAAAATTTAGAACGCCAAGATATTCAACTTAACCGTTCGATTTTATTTTGTAACCCTAAAATTGATTGTATATTATTACGTTCGTTAAAAATTAAATTACAAAAGATCAAAAGGGTTTTGTAGTTTAAAATTAATGGAATACTTTGTATGATTGGAATTTATAAAGAAAAAATAAATCTCTATAGTTCGTAGAACATCTAAAGAAACGAACTGAATTGATAATGAAAAATAATTAAGAATTTATATTTGCATTTTTAAATAAATTTAAAAACTACATCAATCAATAGATGAACGATGAAAAATAATAATATTTTAATCGAAGTATTACTAATAATTCTATGAGTATTAAAAATAGGTAGGTATAGTACATATATAATAGCACATTACATACGTTAGACTTCACTTGGGAACTAATAGAATTTATCTAATAATAACATCAGTGTTTAGAGTGAGAAAAATGTTGTGGGGCAGTGGTGTAGCCAGGAGTGGGACTGGGGGGCTGCATTCCTTCCCGAAATATTAGAAATATTAAGAAAATTCAAAAATTATTTTAATGATCCAAAAAAGTCGTTACAAAAGTCTTGGAAAAATTGATCAGCCCCCCCCCCCCCCAAAAAAAAATACCTATGCCTATGCCCTGTTGTGGGGGGGGGGGGCTGTATTCATCAAAAATTGATGAGCGTTCCTCTAACTAATTCTAAATCATACCAACTTTTTTTAGGAAACCTTTGAGGTCAAGCCTCTTCTGTTACACATATATGTTCATAAAAACTTTATTTTCACAGGATGTAAAAACAAATTTCCCCCAATGAAAAATTATTCTATACTTAATCCTGTTCAGCAAAAATAAATTGAACTACATAGTAGGTAATGTTTAAAAAACTTAACTTAAACTTAACAAAACTAAAAATAAACAATTATTAACCTTGCTAGTTGTTGGTCAACGTAGACAGTAATCAATATGTACATTGCACATAAGGGATGTACTATCTATAAAATAGTGTCTATCCTCTATCACAATTTAATATTTATACTATTTATAGTTATTCTATTCTGTTTATATTTATTCTAAATAATAGTCGATATCACTATCACTTTGATTTTAGAGCTGTGGGTAATAACCGCTCGGGGATCATCTATAATTAGACACAGCGTCAATTAATTTAACCTATGGTGTACATTATCTACCATTTTTGCTTATCGTTATACCTACATATTATTTCTTATTTCCACTTGTTCAAATTAATCAAGAATATAAATTTCATGTAATATTGTAATATTATAATAAGTATTGTATATTCAATATTGTATTTTAGTGACCAATGCCATTAAGCGTTCACCCGGACTTTTGGCGACTTAAATTAAAGAGGACGCATAATCTTACCTTAAATAAGAAGGGGGACTCTGTCTCCCTCCACCCCTCTTAAACCACTGAGTAACATAGAGATTTAAACAGTTGTGATGCCAAATGAGAAAATAAATGTATTTTTAGAGGCTTATAATATATATATATATACTTTATATTTATATTCTACGACTTATGAGAAATAAAGAAAAGTATGGGTTCAAAATGGACTTCTTAATTTGATAAACTGCGAACTTTTCTTGTTGCTTGTTGTATACTATAACTAACATAAACATCTAGATTACATTTTATAGAAATATAAACTGTTAGACAATTATTTAAAATATACCAATCCACCATTGAAATTGTGCCGCACGAGTCAAAAACAGTAATTCGAAGAAAAAATCTCAGACGAATCGATCGACTTAATAATGTTAGTGGCGTCGGGTTTTAGCAAAATATTGTAGAATGATTGACATGCATACCATAGTATAAAAACGGAGAAAACTTAACAACGCTATAGCTACATCGAAATACATAGTAAAATAGTATTGGAAAGATTTCTATATGGCAATTTTTATCCAAACGTTTAAATAAAGATTTGTCCACATCCAATATAAATATATCTGTCCGCTGACAGTGACGAATTTTCGATAGACGCATATAAAAGGATTCTAAAAAAAAAAAAAAATTAAATTTTCATGTCTTGTTGACAATTATTATTTATATTGTATTCTAATCGCACGATAGTCACGTTGACTTTATTTTGTGTTCCAGATATCAACGAGTGTCAGTTGAATTTGCACACGTGTCAAGAATTTCAACGATGTGACAACACGGTCGGTTCGTATCAATGCGTCCGTTTCACCGGATGTGGAACAGGGTACACGCTCGACGTCGAATCCTCTTTGTGCAAAGGTTAATATTATCATGGTCAATAGCGTTACGATAATAATACTGTTGTTGCGACACACAATGATTTGTAAAATAATGGGGCAATATCATTCGTGTTAGATGGGATGGGTAATAAACAATAATGCATTACGAAAATCACTCGGAGCATGCACGATGCATTTATATCGGTTCATGCAAAAAACCTGATTATACATGAAATACGTTGATATATCCGGTTTTTCGTTCATGCTTTATGGGGTAGCTAAAGAAAAGTTTTCATAGTAAAAAAAAAAAAAAAAACAAAGATTTGTGGTCTTAAAAAAGAGCGAGATTCCTGTGTAATCAATGTCGCGTGTAGACAATTTGCGCCCCGGGACAAAAACAAATTGGTGCCCCTTACAGGGGTTTAGAATTAGGGAGATAGATCCTTCATGAGCTCTTATGATTTTGAACTAAGCAAAGAATGCATTGGTTTTATAATGATGCGAGTTATTTTATCAAGAATATATATTTTTATAATTTAGTGAAAATCCCCCCCTCCTCTCTAAAGAATGATCCGTAAGGTAGACGGTTTAAATCCATCACACGATCATATCGCACCTGGTGTTCATATTTCTTTATTTAATCCAATCCTGAACCCGACCGGATCACGCAGTTTATTATCATAATCGTTACTATAATTTTTTTTACATTTTTTTTTACTGTCTGTAGACGACGATGAATGCGCGCTAAAGACCGACACTTGCAGCGATTTGGGCCCCGAATGGGTGTGCAGAAACACAGTGGGGTCGTTTCGGTGCGAGGAGAAAAAACGGTGCACAGGACCCGATTGCGGGGCCCGAAACGGTACCAATCAGACGGCCGTGAAATGCCTTCGCGGTTACGAAGTGGACCCCAACAACAAATGCATAGGTATACGCGTGTACCCAGGACCCGATGATATAACGTTTCAAAACCGTTTGGGTTATGGTTTTTTTTTTTTTTTCACAGACATCAACGAGTGCAGATCACCCACGCGGTGTTCAAAGAACGAAGTGTGCCACAACACGAACGGAAGCTATTATTGTCTGCCTAAGTCGAAGCAATTCCCGCGGTAAACACCGAAACGAAAAACAGATTTGCGATTATAGGTTTTTTTTCTCTCTCTTTTTTTTAAACCGATTCATACGTTTGCGCTATACGTCATACAATCATGACTCATTCGGTTCGTGTTTTCCAACACGTAGCGTTGTATTTAAACGTATTTTAACCTGGTAATATTTATTTCAATAGAATATGATTTTTCATCTATTATTTATTAATTATACGTAGATTTTGCGTCGTTCCTTTTTTTATTGAATTAAATTTTAGAGTTATGTATTGTCTTACACGAAAATACCAATATTTTTGATGGAAAGAATCGATATATGCTGTGACGTTGTATACTTAAGTATTTATCTCTGAAATCGATAAAAAACATGCATTATCTAAAGCTTACTACTGCTTTAGTGATATCGGTGTAATATATGTGTTGTATAATTTAATTTGTCTTTTTATTTGTATTTCATGTAATAAACATTAATTAATTTACTTTTTCCAGTTTTAAATATTTGACTTCTAAAAGTTTAAGTATTTTCGTCCGCCTACAAAAGTGGTAACTGTGAATATTTTACAACCAGAATTTCAGTTCATCCTTTCAGAAAAAGGTTCAGGTTCAAGATTAATCGCTTTAAATAATAAAGCAACAACTGCATATGTTATACCACTACTTACGGTTACAGCTAAATTGTCAGATTAAAATCAATTGAAAATTAAAACAAAATTCCGCGAATGATTTATTCTAACTGCATAAGACGAGTATGTACTATCGATTCTATAAATATAATCCCCGATATTTTGTTCGGCTATCTGACAAGGAACACATCGATTTAACAATGTATTTGTTGTAATCGAATTTCACGGCTGAGAGCCGCAAGAGTTAAAAACGTGTGATCCATTAAATATATAATTTATACATTTTCGTAGTATCTCGCCATTTTTAGAAATCAAGTTGAATGTCTTTCGGTAAACGTTTATGTTAGGGATGGAATAGTTCTACCGTAAATAATTCGAATATTTAAATTTTTGAAGTATACAATATACGAATATTAGTATTTAATAATACAATACAATATCTAACGAAAACTATTCGATTGCGTTTTCGCGTTATACCCCCATAAAACGTTCAACAATAACATTGTATAGGTATGCGGTACACATGGGTCGGCGGGAAGTGGATTCGTCGCCAGCAATATTGACAACACGAGTAAATTGTCTATTAGACGGATCAATTAAAATGCAAAAAAATAAAAAATAATTATGCAAAGTTAATCATTAATAAGTTATTGATAGTAATAATATATTAGTTAGAACAAAAAAATAATTAACCAATAAATGGTATCAGGGGTGGATCTAGGGGGGGTTCAGGGGGTCAGCTGACCCACAGTTAATATTTGTTGACAAAATTTGCCTCTTGGAAATGTTTTTCTCTTTTTAGACCTTGATTTGGACAATAGGACAGTTACTTGAAAAATGAATGCCATGTATAATCAAAATTTAAAATTTTCAATTCATAATTTATACTTTAAATTATATTGTTTAAGTAGAAAGTTAAGTAAATCATATTTTATTCCGTATGTTGCGCTGATAAAATTAGATTATATTTATTAATCGTAAATATGTCATTATCGGTGGTATCACTAATTCTAAAATGTAATATAAATATACTTATAAACATTTATGAGCATATTGTATGTTTTTTTTTTTTTTACAAGATATTCATTTCTAATTCAGTTTCATCCCTAATAAATGGCCTCTTGAAATGGCTTGACCCACAGTTCCCCGACTCTGGATCCGCCTCTGAATGGTATACACATTGATATGCAAAAAAAAAAAAAAAAATATAAATTGTGCATAATGGGTACATCATAAATAAATTATTAATAATAATAATTAGGTCAGAGGACTTGTAGCATATGCATTTTTCTTTTCTACAGTCACAACGATAGCAGAGGGCGGCACTTTTTCGAACACTCAAGAATTATCTACGGTAAAACTATTGAACTTCGAATATTCCAATAATTATTTGATTATTCGAATATGCGTTACATCCTCAGTTTCTATATTTTCCTATTACAAAACATGTAATTTTTCGGACTGCAAGCGATTCGTCATTTCATCGTACACATAATTTTGGTTTTAAAGGCGATGAAAATCAAATAGGCAGATAACTGGTCTCCATTGATATTAAAACACGCAGTACGTACCCACGACCAGGAAGTTTGTGAACCCTGGATTTCGAATAGGGGTTCGCAAACATAAACATTTTTAACAATCAAATACAACAATAAACGACAGCGTATGGTGATGGTGCGCGGGGTAAATGCGAATTGGATTGATCGTAATAACGTGTTACAATCGTAACAAATCGCTAAACCGTCTGCACGACCGCGATCGTTGGAAATAAAATACAATGCGTACACTCGTTACTCCTGCATCGAAATTTCATAAGAAAAGAAAATTTAAATTGTCTTTCTTTTGTCATCGTGAAAACCGTGGAAAAAATAATACTTTTGTCTAATTCTCTTTTTAATTTTAAAGCCAAAAATACAATAAAATTCCAATAAATACGTGGCGGTATCGTCGTTATCGCCACCAAGGTTTACAGACGCGGCAGTGAACGAATGTTTCGTGAAACGATTTATTTCGTTATTTTTAGCATTATTCGTATCTCGTTAGTGTACCTTGTCGTAAGACGTCGATGGTATTAATTCTGCTCTGGAAGACGGGCGTATTCATTGTTTGCAGTAGACAAAAAAATCGCTTGTAGAAATTATTTATTTTGATGCAGAAGAGATATTAAATCGGTTTGCAAAACAATCAGATCTATTTATTACAAATTTGATTAATTTTTTATGTTATATAAATACAGTAGTAGTACATTTAAAAATTGATGTTGCATTTTGGATGATTAAGTTAATTTGCATCTGTATAGGTACCTAGAACAATGGTACGGTTATGGTATTCAATTCGAATTCTTAAAAGTTATTTAATAGATTCATATTAAAATTAACCCAAAATGATACTGGATACGGCCATGGTCCGTAAACACACAGAGTTCTGTTTCAGGTGCGGCCGAGCGCAGACGTCTGGAACAAGGGAGCAAAGGTATGTTGTCTTGCACGATCGGTCATAAGTTTATATTTACAAATTTTTAGAGCGAAAAGAGAAAATCTGCAAAAATTTACATTTTCAACTTGGTGATCTATCTAATAGGTTATAATATTGCAGCGCGATATAGAGTCTGCATGCCAAAGCAATTTTATAGTCATATAAATCTAATATAAGACGTAGGAACAATTTATAGTATTCTGAGAATAACAGCCCGATAAACGATAAAATATTATGGGAAAAATTAATAGAACAGGATGCAAGCGATTTATAAATTTACTGAATTCTCTATCTATATTTTTTAATTTAAAAAAAAAAAAAAATGTTAAAAATAAATTACATTCGCGTATCGAAGTTTAAGCTCTATTGTTCTTATCATACGATTAATATTTAAATCGTATTAGGATATTAACTGTATAATGGTTTATATTTTCCTTTTTATTGGAGACCACTGAAACTATTATCAAACGTGTTTTAAATGTTTTTAATGTTTACGGAAATGTAAGTTATTAAGTCACACGCGGTTAAAGAAATAATCAAAACTCAAAATTAACAGCTTCATTAATAAATATTATGTATAATACATTTTTACACCATGAGAAGGAATAAACTTTCATTGAGGTATGGGTTGTTCAATAATTGGTAGTAATATAATATAATTGAAATAAATCCACTTTAAAATAGTAATAATCACCTTATATTTTATTTGTTAAGTGTATATTTTATTAAAAAGTTAAAAATTAGTAATTAATAAGTAAATATCCGTAAAAAAAATTTAAAATTGTCCTAATTTTATTTTTATTAGAAAATAAATTATTATATTATTATTTATAGTATTTTATATCGAGACCATGGTAATTTTTAAAATTAAAATATAGTAGTTTTTTTTGCAATATTTGAACTTTGAATACAACTAATACGAATCCATCGTCAAAATACTCATTCGTTTCGCTGGGATATCTATCGAACCGATTCAAATCGATTTTATATCAACCCGTCACGAATGCCTATTGTCTTAATGTTCTATGTTTACAATAATTTGATCGATACGTTTGTGCAGGTATGAATCATGTGAACACAACGGTAGTACGAAAGGAAAAGCCGAACACAAACAATTGTATTTTTATTAACAAGTATAATATGTATTTATTTTTTCAAGTTATTTTACGACCATATTGGCATAATGAACATCATATCATTATTTAGTACCTTAAATAGTAATACATAATATATGAGTAGTTTAAAACTAAAATGGACGTTGGCCAAATGTTACACGTTTACAGGTAACTGACAAAATGTTAACATAAAAACAGGGATTCCAGTCTGTGCTAGAAAATCAACTTCTATGCACTATAATATATTTAAGCTTCAAAAGGTTTTCCATAAATATTCGTTCGAACTAGTATATTATTACTGTTAAGGCACTCTGAAAACATTAAAAAAAATTGTCTTTTCTCAAATTCGGTCGTATGGACTTTTGGCTCGCTAAAAACTTGTAACATGCACGTGTTCTCGGTATAAGCATTCAACAATATAAATTTCAAAAGGTATTATAATAATAATTATTGTTGTAAATATACATATTTTTTTTCTTCATACAAATATTTTGATGGAAAACCACATCGCGGAAAAAAAAATAAAATAAAAATTAAAAAAAATAGTGTTATCTTATACATTTCCAAAATGCATTTATATTATTTAAAATATATAACATTTTCATTATATTGTCTGTTTTGTGTGTATCGTTAAATAAATAATAATAAAAAAAAAAAATTAACAAAAAAAAAAAAAGAAAAACACGTATTACCTACGACAGTCGAGAAGAGTAATGATAATAATAATAATAATATGTTATAACTAGACTGCAAGCATATAACAACATACATAAAAAACAAACGCCATATTTTTAAAAGTTTTCATCGAAGTGTGTGTTGAAATATCATTTTCTCGATCTCTTAAATTCCTCGATTCAATTAAGTTTTGAAACTCGTGAAGAGTACATGTATATACAACGGTAAGTATTATTGCGTTTATCAGATGCACTTTTAGGATACCGTCGGGGTGGGGAGTTATAAACTGCTAACTTTATCATAATCAGAATCTTGTAAATCGTATAGAAAAAATCCGGACTTTCGGGAGGGGGTTGACTCCTAACATCACACCTTTGGTGCGCCACTAGCATTGGTGATACGCGTGGGTAGTCTGAGTCATGGCTAAAAATATAAATGACAACAAATACTCGAAGCGAAGGATTTTGGAAAGCAGACAGACACGAACACGCGCGTTCACGTCTTCACGTGTAATATTGAATTTTGTTATTAATAATTAATGGATTATATTATGTTTTATATAATTTAGATGAAGTACAATTTATTATCCTACGAATATATTCCGAAAATCTAGAATTATTTCACAGACCGTTTTAAAATGTCCTAAAAAAATGGTTATAACTTTGTAGTAGTAGTAGTAGTAGTAGTATTAGTAGTATATCTTAATTAATATCCTTATTATTATTATTATTTTTTTTTTTTAATTTAAGTTTTCATAAGTCATATATAAAATTTTTATCAACTAAAACTACGCGTCGAGCATAATAAAGTTTTAAATATTAATTATCAACGAATTATAGTGCTCGTATTTTGGGTAATACATCCGACCGGGCACGAGAAAACCAAAAGCGGACAACAACCGTCGTCCTTGGCGTGCAGGATAAATTACGGTTTCGCAGGATTTTCCGCGATGGGACATGCGGAACATCGAACGAAATCTCGGAGTGATTGAAAGACGACATCGAGCGGATGAGTTCGGCAAGCGGTTAGGCGGAAGAAAGTCGGCAAAACGATTTCTCTCCTGACGACACAGAGCCAGGTTCACATCACAGTATTCTATAAGCATGTATGTCAAATATAGGTCGGAACACTCGAACACGAAGGTAGTGTAATTGTTTCGATTTTCTTTTTTCGCGAAACATGAAACACGCACTTGAAAATATAATACATTATCTAGGCCGGGAAACAAAACAACACGGGAAACGTAGCGTCTCTGCGATCCTCCTAACCCCGTTCGACGAAAATTAAGCATTTTCCGAAAACAAAACAAACGCGTATAAGTACAATAATAATAATAATAGTAATAATAATAATAATAATAATAATAATAATAATAATAATAATAATA